AATGGCTAATAAAATCCATTATTTTGAATATGGTTGTTGCCAATATCTGATGTCATGTAGATAGCCACTAAAAAGCATTCTGCAGTTTTTTTGTTATAGTTTGAATTCCTCGCAAGGGTCGTACTTGAGTTCAAAGTTGAACACATTTTTAAACCATTGGGTTGGAATCCATTGTTTTGACGTAAGTTCTTTGTTAACATGGTATAACATCAATTCATTACCATATGTGAGTTGCCATCTTCAAGGTAAATTATTTTCCGCCAATTATGTAGTCCAAGATTGTCTTATGCGTAGAGATTAATTTGTTTAGTAAGTTATTTTACCGTCTAAGCAATAAGACTCACCAAGTTTGTTTAAATGAGGTCGTATAGTTTGTTAATTAGGCACTTAGGATCAGTGATCAAAACTAGGAATTCATGTTGTTTTACTCCATGAAGCAATATACTCACCTTAGCAAGTTTTAATTTAAGTTTTGTGTCGTGGTAATCAAGCGAAACTTACTTTTCACCGAGGTTGGTAAGCTGTATTCCATCCACGAATAGTACACTATTTGGAGGATGTATTTTACCGAATGAATATTTAACTGGGGCTCTACACACATTACTGACTTAAATCAGTTTTATACGTAATGCAATAATTAGAAATCAATCAGATTATCAAATAAAAACCATAACTATTAAATTGATATATATATCTACCAACTGAAAGATTTTGTAACATGTTTTCGCCAGTAGTGCCATATCGATCTCGAAACTTCTTACAAGGAAGTAATATTACAAGAACTTGATTTCAAACCTAAAAATGCTTATTTAACATTATTTCTGATTTAATTGTTTGGTTGTGATGTACTTTTAAAATCTCATGCTTCGAATTTTTACTTTTTGCTATATCAACTGGCAAATAGTGAATAGTTCCGTTTACTTACTGGCTATGTTTTCTCTGACTACATCTTTATTGTTTTTGGGTTTCAATTAGTCAAATACAACAGATTACTTAAAAAAATCATTGTCACGTGATATACGGGGACATTAGATCAGTCAATGTAGGATTTAGCATAAATTTCAATTAGTTCTAGTGGCTGCATCTGACACAGCGCTAAGAGAGGAAATTTAGTGAGTTGGAATGGGAAATAATATCATCTGAGGTGAAGAGCTTAACGCGTTCACAGTTCAAGTGAAACAAATACTGTCGATGAAGGCTAAAGTGAAGATCCCGAGTCACATATAGACTGAGTGCAACTACGACCTGCCTTGAACCGTGTCACTCAAAATATTTTTGTATGCACACAATAAATAGCAAGATTTAATATATATTGGTTGCTTGGATCTTCTCATCGTTGTGTAGATGTGCAATCGATCAGTCTCTTTTGGTAATATATGCATCCTGTGCGAATTGGCTAAATATTGCCCCTAAGTTACAAACACTAAAAGTAGGTACATCTACCTGACAAGTCCCAAATAGAACGAAACTCGAGTCTTGGATTTCACTTCTAGCCATCATTGCTTAAAGCAGTAAGACTTTGTAATTAAGAAAGATAAGAGGAAACAGTTTTTCAGAATATGGAAATTGACATTCGGTTAGGTATAGATAGTAACTGTTAACCCCACACTAGACATAATTGAACTTCGTTAATCTCTTAAGTTAAAAGTTAGTTTATTTATTCATCAACATCTCGCTGGTTTTGTCGTTAATTTCAGTTTTTGGTACTTTTATGTCTCACTTAAAACCAATAGTAGGGTGTTCATAAAATTTAGCAACCAACCATGATAAGAGTATTCATATTTGAAGTTACGTTAAAATTTATGAAGAAATACTGTTCGTCTCAATTTTAAAATCTGAAGTGTTAACGAGTGGTACATGGTGTTAAATATTTTAACATATATAATTAGTTTTTTAGTTTGATTACTTTATGAAGGGGTGTGTTTTTTTAGCTCTGAGGTCGAGCATCGGAGTTTGATCTGAACATTCATGTAAAAAATAGGCATATTTTACTTTTAAAAACATTCACCAGATATTTATTATCCAATGATGACGTATACAATCAACTTTCTCATTAGCATATTCTAGATGTTTTCTACATTGTCATTCGTGGGATTGTGATGGGTAATTGGTGGCAGTCATCAGGATAAGTACCACTTTTCAAGGTTATCCACCAATACATTTACAAGGTTACTGTTAACGACATAGGGTTATAACATTATTTGTAATGAATATTAATGACGAAAATTATTAGATCTTCACAATTGTCATTAGCAATCTTATTTTTAACAGTGTCTCTGCAGTTGATTAGATTTATAAAGATCAATAACTTATCACAGATCTATCTCTATATAGTGACAAATTAGTTTTGATGTAGCCGTTAGTCTGTAAGTAACACAACATTACAACAAGCCCTAGTTGATGGCAGATTAATGGAGACAGTTAGGAGCAAGCTTGAATCCGACGAGGAGCATCAATTCCGTCAAGACTGTAGATCACCTTGCTGACCAGTGTTGACTACCGCAAAACTTAATCGTAGGACATCCTCCCAACTATATGCAATCACCTAATGATTTTATTTATTTATTGATAGTCCTGAGCTGTTGTTCTGAAGTAACTTTTTGTTCTGATGATCTCTTACTGGTTAATGTAGCTAACTGAAATTCTTCTGTGCTTTATTTGCTTTACAGTAATACATTCGGGTATGTTAATCACTGCAATGTCATGAACTCTTATCTCTTTGTGTGTATATTTATTGACATGATGAAGATTACTTACATTGGTTTACTAGTAATTTTTCCAGATATTATTACCTTTTATCCCTCAGAATCACTTCATAAAATGCATTTCATATTTCTGTTTATGCATTTATTATGGTGAATATAAATTTGTTCTTTTCGTGATATTACAGTACATTACGATGAATAAATAAAATTCTGTTTTATTTTTATTCACTTATTTTGTTGAAATATTCCAATTTATTCATGTTTTGTTTTTCTTCTGCTTATAATATTAATAAAATAATAATAATCACAGATCAACTATGAAAGGAAACAAACAGACAGACATGGTTGAAAGAGTTTGATCAATTGGGTCTTTACTTTTTTATATAGCTATTGTTATCATTGTCGTTTTTTACCTTCTTAAAATAGTGTTTGTATTTTTCTACGTTTCTTTTTTGTATACATATTAGAAACTTACAATTGTGTCTTGATTGTCTTTACATTATGCATTAAATGAAGGAAGGCCCAGGACAGAGTGGGTTGGAGAATGCTAGTCGGTAGCCTACACTCCATTGGGAGTAACAGGCGTAAGTAAGAATACTTAAAATGCTCTATATATTTGCCTTGAGTAGGGAAGAAGTTTACTAACACTATGAATACCTATTTTACTAATAAATTAAAGATAAAGTCTTTGTCATTATAAAACCGTTACCTAGAATTTATTACTGATGTAAAAACAGATGTTTGAGGGTGTAACTAAGTCGAAATAATGATGTTCATGATCTTCAAGAACTTGAAAGCATATATTTCTTGAATGATTGTACATTAGTTAACGACTACCATAGGAAACCAACACTGTACGTCAAAAGTGTCTATTAATGTTTCGGATAGTACGACGTGAGTTTAAATAGTATGGAATTTGATGAAAGCTAGTGTGAAATGCTATAATAAACACCGATTACTTGTGTGATTCGTCTCTTGATACTTATAATGATACAATCCTGTTGTAATAATTGGTTTATAGTACTGTTACTCAAATATCCCTTACTTAAATTTGTTCATCTCGCTTTTCTACAACAGACCGCCAATTCAGTGAACAAATCTATGATAAAACAATAAAAGGATTTCTCTTATAAATTGTAACCTGTGTGCCCTGTTAATACATAGCGTAACGATGTCTCCAATTAGAGAGCAGTGAATTATCGATCGGACCAGTGACGCATGCGCATAAAACACGTACGAGCAGTCTAGAGTACTTATCGGTCCTGCTTCCTGCCTAGCCCACCCAGTTAAGTCCAGAACACCAATCTCAGCCTCTGCAATATGAATCATTTATTTCAAACATACTCGGCTTATTTACCAACCAGACAGACCACATCGTACCAATAAAACAGGAAACAACATTTATACAAGATTTGGCCAAATGTGGCTGTGAATGTAGGAGGTAGGAATAACATCTACTTAACGATCCAACTGCTCTTGTGGAGGAAGTTGTATTTTCTGTACAATCAAGTAAATATATTATCATATTTCTAGAGGTGACACTTGCTTGGTCGAGGGAGAAAGAGAAAAAAGTAAGAAGCTATGTTTTGGGATATTAAGTCAAAGTCGGTAAGTTTAGATGCCACAATTATTTATAGAAGTCCGTTAAACTTACCCTATGCTCCCAGAATCTGTCTTTTACATACAGTAGAAACCATAGGTGTATACAATAATAACCTTAGTCTTTGTGTACCAAAATGCTTGTACAGCCTCTTAATTTACCAGAGGCTTTTATTGCGTTACTCTTGAGTTTTTGAAAAACTTCTCAATTAACAATTATATTATTACGCAATCGGCTTATCTTAACAATTGGATTAGATAATTTGTTTACATTCGTTTTACTATATTTTACAAAAAATCTGTCAAAATGAAAATATTTCTCAAAATTATCGTGATGTCTCATTACTAAGAACTAAAAATGCCCAAAAGTAATAAACATAGACTCAATAGTCACATTAAATTTAACAAAATATTCCTAGTTTAGATAATATTGACAGGATGAGTGTATCATATATGGCTACATGAGCGAAAATATACGTTTTATTAATTGAATACTTGGTAAATTTCTCGTTATGACCAAAGAATTAAGTGAAAACAATAATCGTTAAGGATTAAATAAAATTGTCATACATTATTATCGTCATCACTATTGTTGTCGTTGTAGCGTACTTCCAGGTTATTGGTCGGTGTGTCTAATTTCCTTTCTTTTTCTATCCATGGTATTTGCATTTGGCATAACTGACTGTTCTGCTTATTTCACCACCATACATTTGGTGTCGAGGTTGTTGTATCGTGATGTTTTAATTGTAGACCAGTTGAGTCAGATACATTCCCAGCAGCATCGTGTGATGGACCCCATATTTCACGATGTGCACCATTTAAATATTTGCGTTTCCGTCGTTCCTCATGTAACCCATGTGAACTTTTGTTTACCTAGAAACATAAATAATTATCGATACATTTTTCTGAATCTCATTAAAGGAAGGATAACTAACGTAACAGAATAACATAAATTAATAATAGTTCACGGTTTCTTATCAACTGCTTATAGCCTAAACACAATAGAAGTATACATTAAAAATCATTGTAGGTACTATATAAAAGAATAATGAAAAGAGCAGTAAATAAGGAAAAACTATACCAGATGTCAGTGTTAGAAAATGAGAACTTTGAGCTGATGAGCATTACCTCCACCAATGAAAAATCTTATGTTGAAGCTGCAACAGAACCAGAGCTTCTGATCCAAATCAAGTCGTTGAAGAAGTCAATATTGTACGGTGAATTTTACTATTTCCTCCGAGAAGTTGCGTCAAAAGTTTGTAGAAAGTGAAAAGATATTATCAAAAGTCCTTTTTCAAGACCAACTATGTGTAGACATTCCTGGGAAATTTATCTGCAACTTATGAAGTTTTAACTTGAATAGAATTGAGAGAGTACTTTTGTTTTTATTTGAATTCCATATCCCAAGATACACTCACAAAATCCATACCAGAAATATATAAACCTAATTTTTTTTCTGACCACTATTATCAATTCATTTCACAATCTCACCCACTGATTAGCCCATTATTTAGGACTGATTCTTTCAAATTTATCTGTTCAAAGCTTGGTAGACACTTTATAATTTATTCAATGACTAAATAATATTGAAATCTTCGATAAATTCATGGCTTTATTTTATTTATCACTGTTATTTACTAGCATCTCGATAGAATAAACCATGCAAATAACATGTCAATACTCTGACTTAATCTCCTAACAGAAGATGAATTTAGGTAGCTTCTATAAATATTTACCAAAGATAACCACTTTTAATTCAATAATGTCTGATATTTTCATATTAATAGAGTAGTTATGGGTAGCCCACTGAGGTACGGAAAACCTATGAAAGACGGCAACAAAACCAGTAATCAATGACAAAACATTGTACGTCAGGTATATTGAATGTGCATATGTGGCCTGTGATGATTATCAACATGCTTCTCAAATACTGAAACCTATCGATACGCCACACGCAATTACCAGATTTATAGTGGAACATGAACATGACAAGATGCTTCAGTTTGTAGACCTTGGTATGAAACAAGATACAAATGGTTGGTTGGGAAGAAATATTTATCGATAGGACACTTGCAGTGAACTACACTTAAACTTCAATAATTTCTGTCCAACAAGCTAGGTTGTAGAGTTTAATTCGTCCGGTAATAAATTCTCATGACAATAACAGATATATGTAAATTCGAGATAGTTCGTGATTGTTTATCAGGTGTCTAAATTATTTTTATTAAAAGTCTTCAAACGATTATCCATGTGTAATGAAGAGAGAGAAATCGACATGTCACGAATAAACAACAATGTCGGATGAGTAAGTGTTCATTTTACACAATATAGTCAAAAATTACTGAATACATATAATTCACATATTGATTTATACGACGTACAAAGATAAATCTTCAGCACGGTTTTATCAAGGTTATTGAGTATCATTGAAATCACAGACAGATCTAAGTTAGACAAGGATTGAAAACCTGAAAGCATTGGATAGTCGTGCAATACCGTGGCTTGACTGAAGTTAGACCGATACACCACTGAATTTTTGCTCGGTGGTTTGGAGGTTAAGTGTTCGCGCGCGAAACCGAAGGTCTTGCGTTCGACTCCCACGTGCGAGGTCGTAGACGTGCACTGCTGAGTTCAATACTATGATGAAACGGCCGTTCCATGATTTTAAATTTACATCGATTGACCAAATAAGATCAGTTCATGATTTCAGTAAAAGTTAGATCTACCGATTTCTATTTTATACAGCTTAGTAATGATCGATTCTTTCGTTCATGTTATATTGTCAAAACAGAAACTTTTATAATGATAAAATAATTATATTTTTGTCATATCCCAATGAGTAGAAATTTGCATTTCTGACGTTCCGTGACTTAATCTAATTCACTGATTCAGAGTAAATGGATAAATAATGTAAATTAATTAACACAAGTCTAGGTAGTATAGAGAAAACAAATTAGAATATCTAATTCAGTCAAAATTACTGACCAAATCTACTTCTCATGATCTGAGGGTGGTTCGTAATCTTTCAAACAGACCTATTAGTACTCGTGAAATAGGTCTACTAGAAACAGGATCACATTTTGATTTACATAGATCTCTCACTACTCTAGAAATTGCTCCAATTCCTGAACTGGTATTCGAAAAAATACCAGAAAATTAGTCACACACATTACGTTAAAAATCATCTCGAATTTTGCCAAAACACAAATGCTTCCCATTAAATGTTTCCAAAGAAGAATAGAGAGCTCTACATTTCGTACAAAAAGGTAGAACGATTTAAGCCAGAACATCATTGAAAGCCTGGAAGAACTGGATATTTTAATCAACTTACATCATTCACATTATCATCCATTGCTAACTTATGAATTTTACAAGGTTTTCTATTTGTACACAATCGGTAATTGTTATTATTCATATTACGCAGTCTTTTTATTACATCATGTTTATTCATTGTTCATTTGCCCTCACGGAAATAATACTTTGTGTTATACTTGTGACCACCAATTATGGAGCAGTGAATTATCGATCGGACCAGTGACGCATGCGCATAAAACACGTACGAGCAGTCTAGAGTACTTATCGGTCCTGCTTCCTGCCTAGCCCACCCAGTTAAGTCCAGAACACCAATCTCAGCCTCTGCAATATGAATCATTTATTTCAAACATACTCGGCTTATTTACCAACCAGACAGACCACATCGTACCAATAAAACAGGAAACAACATTTATACAAGATTTGGCCAAATGTGGCTGTGAATGTAGGAGGTAGGAATAACATGGACAGGGCATAATTCAAGAATGGTTAATCGTATAATAATAGTTCGTAGGTTAAAATAAAGCTCATAATAAGAGGGAAATGAATATGAACAGTTTAGTTATTTAACAATTATACGATAAAAATATACGCATAGTATTGATCCATAAATGAATCGCGAAAGTTATCATTCATTATGCTTATCGGGACATAACACTTTAACAAAAAACTTCATACAGATATACGATTGTACAGCTTGATAATAAATTCGTTAAAAAGATATCTCTTTGCGTTTTCAGTATAATTATTTTATCCTTAATAACTTTCTACCTAATGCTCAATTTACTTTAGACTATCAAGTTCAACCTTGGTATTGACAACAAGAGAATTTTATGTACTTATTCTGAAAGTGATAATAAAAATTAACATGTAGAGTCAACAAAATTAAGTGTGGAGACGAATTTCCATCGATTCTAGTGTGAGGTTGTTTGCTATATGTTGCAAATTTACGGAAATTAGAGCGCTGACACTGATTTTCAATCATGTGAAGTAAAAACATCAAATGGTCCCCGTGATTGCCCAGGACAGAGTTGGATGGAGAATGCTGATGGGCGACCTATGCTGCTTCACGAAAGGAAACAGGAATGAGTAAGTGATGCTGTAGGCCTCCTTTGTGAGACAGAGTGCTGAGATCAATAATATTAGATAGTTCTCAATACAGACTAATTTCTAACAACTCTTCATTTGATATCAGTTCATGAATAAAGAATTCATCTTTTTCAAGCTATCTTAAGTAGAATCTTGCTTTCGTAATTATTTATTTAGGTATAAACAGAAAATCAGTTGAAGGTAACATTCGAAATAGGAGCATTGTTCCTTTCTAGCATGAGATTCCTCATCAGTGATGATCAGTCTACACCAGAGATAGGGCCCGAGATCTTCGGGGTCCCTTGAGAGTATGTAACCAGCGGACCATCAGGTCACCATCAAATAAACATTCAATTCCGATTTCATGCAATTCGAATCACACCATGTCATCCATCTATAGCCAATAGTGAAGACAGTTTTATGTATGAAATAGCTAAAGTTCAGTGATTATGATTTTTCACCAGAAGTTCAAAAACTCATCTTGAAGTATAAAAATATTAAGTTTATGATTACATTCAACTATCGTCAATCTTTGAAGAAGATCACCAACAAGTTAGACAGGTTTCCACAAAATCTTTACACCAAAAACATTTTTGTTCAGCTGTGTTTTATGGAGATTAATTAATTTCTAAAAATAATCTTCATTATGAAATGATATCAACCGGTGAACTAATACTAGCTGTGAAGTTTAACTTAAAAAATTCAGATTTCCTAACAAACCTGTTGCTATAAGATTCCTGAATCGACCTTTAACGGTTTACAATCTCAACTTAATTGTTGACTGGATAGAGTCTGACATGTGAACCATTGACTGAGTGGTTTTAAGGCATTATGTATGTTAAGAGATGCTAATGTTTTCAGTTCAATCTCATGTGAGGGGGGGGTAATGACTGGGTAATGTTGACGGGTCTAAAAAAATGAGAATCACTGCCAATGCTTCCTGGTTTTAGTGATTTTCCATCTGATGCCAGCCAACAAAAAATCATCATTTAAAGAAAGACAAACATTTTTTTTCAAAACAGTTAATATCATACAACTTACAAACGGTATTAAGAAATTATGTATTAATTCAGCAGCTAATTCATTTGTTTCTAATTCACCACGATTTAATTCATAGAGATTAGCTTGTTCAATTTTTTGAGCTAATGTCGAAATTTCTTCCTTAGCTAAGTAATCAGCTGCACTATTTACAGCTAAGCCAGCAATATTTATCAGATAACTATCAACTGTATCTTCGTGTACCTTAACAAGCTAAATAGTAAAAAAACGTTAACTAATTATGTATTGAAAATACCTGAAAAGTGATAACTTGGTGAATTAAAGTGCAGTTACAAAATACACAAGTTCTTTAAAATATGACTGTTACGGAAATGTATTTAAATTTTCTAGGAAAGGTAAATTAGTGTAAACTTCATGATATGTGTTATATCCTGGCGAAGATTAAATTACGGGTAAATTCTGAGAACTATTAATTGGCTAATATTATATATATTCCTATTGGATAACTATTCAGTAACTAGATTATATATATTCTTCTTATTATTATAAGCTTCAATAATCAATAAACTGGACATAACTTAAGAATAGTAAATCGTATGATGATAATCTATAGGTCTAAATGAAGCTTATAATCAGAGGAATATAGATATACATAATCTAGTTACTGAATAGTTATACAACAGGAATAAGTTACTCGTAATTAATTCTTCGCTAGGATATGACAATGTCTTAAGATATATAACAACCAGGTATAGTTTTGTTCTAACATTTAATTTAATGGTGGGATTGCCTGTCTCGATCGATAGGGCTCAAATAGTAAACTTTATAGAGTGGATGAACTTACTATTCCATATGTTTCCCCAGCATTACTAAAGTAAATCAATAAGTCTAAGTAGAAATGATAAATTGGTAACTGAAGTTATGATCCTTTATCATTGAAGATAGTTTGGACATGTAACTCATGACTGGTTGTTTACCTAGTGAGATTAGTAGATAACCTGACTGATATTAGATGAGTTACATATTTTTCCACCCTTATTATTATTATTATTATTATTATTATTATTATCGGTTGTTGGTGTGGTAATATACTTATGTTCTAGTCAGTCCAATCACATGTTCATGATCCGAGTTGTATTGATGTCCTGTAGAATATACACTAGGAGGGTATCTAGTGTAGATATTCGTCTAAGGTAAATTAACGTTCCATTTGTGTAAAGGAAAAAACCGAGCGTTGTTTCATCTAACTTGTCGTTTTGTTCTAGATAACATAAAACAGTGGCTAAATCAAGATCATTCAGTCTCCGAACGTTATACTTAGCCGTGTGAGAAGATTCAGTTTCCTGGTTGCAGTTCCCAAAGTAGCCGTAATCTATGAATGCAGACATTAAGTGGAAAATTTATCCACTCATTTACATGGTCAAAATCTTCATTTGTATTGTTCCGCAGTTCTTACTACTCAACTTCATTCACTATTTTCGAAATATAAGTCATTTTCTCTCATTTTCCACTAACTTTTCATTGCATTACTTCGTTAACTTATTATTTACCTTATTTACATGTACTGATATGAAGTATGGGGACGTGGACAATAATTAATTAAAAACGCCAAATAGGATAAAGAGCTGTGTTTCATTTTTTTAGCTTTTTACCGTTGCTTAAAATTTGAATTTGTAAACAGAATAAATGGTTCAGATGACAGTTTGAGAACATATTTTGAGAGAAACCGTAGATACAGTATAAAATACTTATTACCTATTGTGAAGGAGGAGGATTCTGGATGATTCTAGTTAGAGGTTTAGATGCTGCATATATCAGTTATTATGTAACGGAATTGATTGTAAATAGCTTCAGAGAATTTGATACTATGATAAGCTAAATAGCACCTACGAAACTTTAAAGTATTCACAATAACATCTTACCAGATATTTTTATGTTTTAAAGTGTTTAAAGAGCTCATAAATACTTGGTTTTTATCTAAAAAAATTCAGTATTATCTGTTAAAGAAATAGTTTTGTGTAAATCGCTCAACTGTACAATCTTTAGTCAACCATGTTTCACTACGCCACAAATTTATGAGAACAACGTTCTTCTCTCGAGTTCTGGTTAGACAGAATTCAAAGAAGTTAAAATTGTCATAATACTATGTGAACCAATGAGGTAAAACATCTAACAATAAACCGTATTAAACGATTCAATGGTCTGCATAATAGGTTGATTTTACCTATAATAAGTGGATAAATAAACTGGCTACGTCATGAATGACAAAAATCAGGGTTACTTAAAATCTAGTTAAAATCGTTTACCTGTTTGAAAATTTCATCTTGTTCTCTCCTTCTGCGCTCTTCTTTTTGACGTGTACCACATTCTTCCGCTTCTCGTATACGACGCTGACGTTCTGCTATTAGTACTAATGCATGTATACGTCGCTCTTCGATTAGACGATCCAATTCTTTACTTAGAAAATCTAACATATTAGCTAAACTATCACATTCAAACTGTCCTAAGATGTCTTCTACTAGACGCTCCTTTTAATAAAAGGTAAATAATATATGTACTGTTCGTTAGTAGTTTGTCATATATAACACCTCAGTTTTAAATCAATACAAATAAGTTACACTCAGACAGATGGCCGAAAACGTCATATATAAGAAATTCACTTGATTACACAAAAAATCTAGTCATTACTCACATTCCGTTGGTTTTAATTGGTATTTACATAGTTCCCTGAGGTGAAGTTAGCTAATAGTTACTAAAAATGAGGAAGCATTGGACGGCCATTTCTATTTAGTAAGGAATTTCTTGGTATGCATATTCACTACCCTGCTAATGACCACACCCAGAGGACTTTAGAGGTCCAAGCGAGCTGTTGATCACAGAGATGACATTTGATGCTGTGCATTCCTAAATTTAATTAAGTCATGATAGACAGACAGTAAAGATTACGACTAATTTAATCTTTTCGTTAACTTGTTGATCAATAAGGATAACATGGGTTTACTAGTTACAAAGTGTGAGTAATGATGAGACCTGATATCTTGTATTAAAACAGTGTAAACCATCATTTTATAACAGATAAAACCTTGAAAAGTCGAATTCAGAAGTTCACTGATGTCTTTAAAAGATGTCTTATTGGTTTTTATGACAAGCTTCATCCTATGACGATGGGATTAAATAGAAATAACGAAGAGTTGAACCATTTGAAATATCACTGTGACTGTTAGCGACTAATGGGCACGTCACAACCCCTTGGATTGTAAAACTTTGCGGTATTAAAAATCATCTGACATGACTAGAAATTGAAAACAGTGACGACATTGCTATAAGTCCCCTGAATGCCCTGGTACGGCCGAGAGTGGGGAGAGTCCGCTCTCCCTCTCGAAATACTCTCACACGGCCACGCGTATACAGCCTCTGCCAGGGAAGTCCTACTCATTGCCTTCTCGTGGCGGGGGTGTTGTTTACGAAAATGAGAGGACGAAAAGCGAATGTCCGGCGCTTTAACCGGATTCCAAACCAATGGTGCACATGGGCTCCAGTATCCTGCGGGAACGAATGGCGTATGAACCAATCGTTGGTCACCGGCTACCATGGGACTGCATCTCCTTACGATGCTCCACTGCCTTGTGGGTTAGACCTTTAGGTCAAAGGCTCGGGGAGTGGCCCCCTAAGATAACCACCTGCTTCGGTTTGGGCACCCGGGCAGTATCACAGCCCACACACAAATGATGAACTCTTTATGTCTATGGAAATTACTTTTGTCGCTTTGAAAAACAAACAATTGATTCAAATTATTATCATTACAATTATTGTCATTATTAATACTAATATTATTATTACTACTATTATTGTCATTATTGTTATTATTATCATTATTATTATTATTTTCCACATTATTCACCCTCTTTTATACTTATACAGCGGCTCGTCTTTGGTGGAATTCCGACTGTATCTAAACGTTCTCGAGTCACTGTCCGGTTGAAAATTGTATGTTACCACCGAATACGAGGACTGAAGCAGATTTTCTGAAACCACGTGCACCATTCAAACTGGCTGCCTTCAACGTTCGCACATTTATGCAGGTCGGACAACAGATAGGGCTGGCTATGTCTTTGGAAAGTCTTAATATCGACGTGTGTTGTCTATCCGAGACCCGTATTCAAGACTCTGGCGAAGTACTACAAATTCGATCTCCATCTGTCGCTTCGAAAAGCTTGTTTTACGTGCGCTTATCCGGGGACCCTGTGGCATCTTCGTCTGGTCTTGCTGGCGTTGGTGTCGCACTAAGCGCTAGAGCTGAGGCAGCACTAGTCGATTGGATCCCCATTAACAGTCGGTTATGTGCTGTTAGATTAGAAAGTTCCATCAAAGTGAGAAGAAATCGGCGTGAGAAACGATGTCTTTTCGTCATCTCCGCCTATGCCCCGACAGATTGCAGCCCGGATGCAATCAAGGATGAGTTTTACCACCAGTTATCAGTTCTTCTCCAGAAAGTGCGTTCGACAGATATTGTAGTACTAGCCGGAGACTTGAATGCTCAGGTCGGGCGTCTAGGCACAGAAGAGAGTCGTTTAGGTGGCCGATGGGGACTCGTTGGTCGCAGGTCAGATAACGGGGACCGTCTACTGCAACTTTGCACAGACCACAACCTGTTTCTGGCTAGCACTAACTTTCGGCACAGTCATCGCCGATGTGCCACCTGGCGTCCTCCCTCTGCATCTCAAGCCTGGACTCAGATTGATCACATCGCGATCAGCTACCGCTGGCGTGGTTGTGTACAAGACTGCCGCTCCTTTTGGAGTACCTATCTGGACTCTGACCATGCCTTGGTCTGCGCCAATCTTGCCTTACTTTTCAGTGGACAACGAAGTGAACGCCATCAACGGATTGATGTTAGCAAGCTGGTTGCAACTTCTGTTGCAAGTAAGTATCGAACCGAGCTAGCCTCTAGGCTAGCTACCACTCCACCGAAAAGTATAGATGAGCATTGGTTGCAATTGCATGACGCCATGAAAATGGCGGGAACAGTCAGTTGTGGGTTTGCGAAACGTCCCGCTTTTAAGCACTGGGTTTCTTCTGGTTCCTTACAACTCATTGAAGCCCGTCGGTCTACTCCGGGTGACCGTGAGTTTGACCATAAACGAAGGATGTTACGTAAGGAAATTGGGCAAAGCTTGCGTAAGGACCGAGAAGCCTGGTGGTCGATGCGTGCTAATGAGCTGGAAGCAGCAGCTGCATCTGGTAACTACCGGAAGCTCTTCCAACTCATCCGAGCCACTGGCAGCAAGAAGTCTGGTGTGAGTGAAACAATCTGCGAGGATGATGGGATGCCAATCACTAACATCCATCGACGTCTTGGACGATGGGCAGAATTTTTCGAAGGGCAGTTCAACTGGCCTGCTGCTCCGGCAACATCGGTCAGACTGTCCTGCCCTCCATGGCCGGTGACGACTGATCCACCAAATGAGGAGGAAGTCCGCAAGGAACTCCAACTCTTGAAGCGTTACAAATCACCTGGCCCAGATGACTTACCTCCGGCTCTTTTTAAAGATGGTGGTGACTTTTTGACTAAGGAATTGACGACGTTGTTTACAAAGGTTTGGGAACTAGAGAGTGTACCAACGTCATGGAATGAGTCGATAGTTGTCCCTATCTTTAAAAAGGGTTCACGTCGTTCTTGTAACAACTATCGGGGGATAAGTTTACTTCCGATTGCGTCCAAGCTATTGGCTTCCGTCATTCTTCGTAGGTTGTTCAAAACCCGAGAAAGATTGACTCGCGAGGAGCAGGCTGGGTTTCGTTCTGGTCGAGGATGTATTGATCATATCTTCACCCTCCGCCAAATGTTAGAACACCGCCATACTTTTCAAAGGCCAACAATCGTAGTGTTTCTTGACATCAGGGCTGCCTTCGATTCGTTGGATAGGACTGTTCTCTGGGATTGTCTATTGAAGAAGGGTGTGCCTGAGAAGTTTATTAACATCCTAAAAGCCCTGTATAAAAACACCTCAGGCAGAGTGAGGGCATACAACCACCTCTCTCCATTGTTCCATTCGAGCAGTGGGGTTAGGCAGGGTTGCCCAATCTCACCATTCCTCTTCAACTTTGCCATCGATGACATTCTGGAAACAGCTCTGATGAATGTAAGTAATGGTGGTGTGGATCTGTTGCCTGGAGAAAGACTTCTCGACCTTGAGTATGCGGACGATATTGTCTTACTGTGCGATAATGCCCAAGGCATGCAATCCGCACTTAATCAGTTGGCAATCAGTGTCCGTAGGTATGGTATGTGCTTTGCACCTTCGAAGTGCAAAGTACTTCTACAAGACTGGCAGGATTCTAATCCTGTACTCACCCTGGATGGTGAGCAGATAGACGTAGTTGAGAAGTTCGTGTATCTGGGTAGCTGCATAAGTGCTGGTGGGGGTGTGAGTGATGAGATCAATGCACGAATAGTGAAAGCCAGAGCGGCTTATGCCAATCTGGGCCACCTTTGGCGCCTTCGTGATGTTAGTCTGGCTGTAAAAGGCCGGATCTACAACGCGTCGGTGAGAGCAGTTTTGCTCTATGCTTGTGAAACCTGGCCTCTCCGAGTTGAGGACGTTAGACGACTCTCTGTGTTCGATCATCGCTGTCTCCGAAGGATTGCTGACATCCAGTGGCAACACCATGTCAGTAATGCAGAGGTTCGGCATCGTGTGTTCGGGCACAGAGATGATAACTCAATTGGTGTCACCATCTTGAAACACCGACTTCGGTGGCTTGGACATGTTCTCCGAATGTCGTCCCAGAGAATTCCACGTCGTGCATTATTTGCCGACTCTGGGACTGGTTGGAAGAAGCGGAGAGGTGGTCAGTGCATGACATGGTGTCGTGGCATGAAAGAAAGCTGCAAAGGACTGGCTTGTGTTGGTCCTTCACGACTCCCTGGCTGGGGTCCGAGAGATGGTGCTACACAGTGGCTAGAGACGTTATCAGATATGGCTCAGAATAGAAGCCAGTGGCGATCCTGCTGTAACCTTCTTTTACTTTCTTCATAAAAAGTGGTTGTGTCTCCTTTACCTGAAAGATTTCTTCTGATTGTACCTTATCGTCATTACTCTCTTTTTCTTTTGCGTTCCTTAGTTTTTTTTTTTTTTCTTCTCTTCGAATTCCCATTGTTTTGTGTGGCGCATATATATTGGCGCTCTCTTGTACCAATATTTATGTGTTCAAATAAATAAATAAATAAATAAGTCCCCATTGTATTCTCAACAAACGGGACGAGACTGATTCTGACTAATTTTTTTTTGCTGTCTGCTTTAATATTACTTTTTTTGATGATTAAGTGTTTTTTTCCGATTCACTTCATCATAAAATTGTCATTTCGTTGTACATGACAGTCACATTGTAGAAAACATTTTTTGTATGTGGTAACTATATAAAGTGAATACTTCTGATATATTTTGTAAATAAATTAAACACCTTTCTTGAAACGTAAGTCAAGCATGGGATCAGTGAAAACATATTATGCTTTTTGTAGAACAACATATAATAGTCACTTGAAAAGCAGATTTAGAGGAACACTAACCTCAACATTTTTGTTCCACTGAATGGTTAATTGATCTGTGCTTGGTGCTGAAAACCGTAAATCTAGTGATATGCAGTGAAAACACAAAGACTGCTGGTATGGATTTATTTGACCGAGAAAAAAGATCAAAATGACTTATGAATACATCACATTTTATGAGATTGATTCAGTCAAATTTGTATAGTTTGCATTCAGTGGTGTTTAACACGAATTATTCGGTAAATTAGTTTGTGAACACATATTTACCCTATCATACAATTAAGCATCTATAACTAACAGATTTAATTAATGGACTAAGTCATATGATAATGTGATTACATGTCAACCTTATGTGTCATTCGCACTAGAGTCCACCGAGTCGTTGTTTACCATACGAGAAAAGTACGGAAATAAGATTTAAGGTCACTCAAAGCACAATTCACTGTAGAACGCGTGATTTTAGATAATCAACTGTGCAATGAAATGGTATGGTAGAAATGATGGATTAATGCATTCTAATCACATCAATATAACGATGATGAATTTAAATAAAATGATTTACTTGATGCAAAAGATGACTGAAATCTTCTTGTTTTGTTAAAATTGTTAATTTTTCACGTTTTTTTTGAGCTTGTTCATCTTCTAACAGAGCATGCGTTGACCTTGACTCAGCAATTAATTCACTACGTTTTCGTTTACCCTCATACATTTGAGTCTGAATTGCACGCCCGCGAATTAATTGTTGCAACATAATTACAGCTACTTCTTGTCTTTCAGATTCTTCCTGAATTCAACAAATAAACAGTTGATTTAGTCTTAAAATAAAATAATTACAATGTATATCGAAAATGATTCTTTCAAAATTACAGTTAATTGAAATTAGAATCACATGTTATATCACAAGTTAATTGAACTTAAAAAACTTGGAACACTAGATGTTGAATATTTTGAAAAGTTACATTAAAACTTGACTTCTGTAAACAGATTCAACGACTCGATTGCATCATATTATCCATAAGATCTAACTTTACATGATTGAATCTCGTGAAAGGGTTAAAATTCTGCGCTAGAACAGAACAAGCGTCAAGCTTTTTCATGATTTCCAGTATTTATACATCTGACATAGGGACATTGTGCGAATTAGCGTTAAAACATTAACTTTTTGCATATTTTTATATACATACTTTACCTGCGTTTGTTACACTTCAAGGAGGAATATAAGTCGCCTAACAACATTCTTTATTGAACTCTGTCCAGGAAAATACTTTTCAGTTGTTCCCAGTTGCTATTCATCCTTTTCATGTCTCTTTCCAATTTTCCGTGAGGCTTTTCTTTGGCCTTCCTTTTTTCCGTTTCCCTTCAGGATTCCAAGTTAGTGCTTGCTTCGCGATCTAGTTTGGTGACTTCTACAATGTATGGCCTATCCACTTTCAGTGTGTTTTCTTGATTTCCTCTTCAACTGGAAGCTGGTTTGTTCTTTCCCACAGTAGGTCGTTGCTGATGGTATCCAGCCAACGGACATTGACTAACTTGCGTAGACAAGTGACTATAAGTACTTGTGCTTTTTGATGATGGCTGTAGTAGTTCTCCAAGTTTCAGCTTTGTTTAGTTGGACTGTCTTGACGTTCGTATTGAAGATTCTGACTTTGATATTGGCTGACAGTTGTCTTGAGTCCCACATGTTCTTCAATTATAGGGATGCGTCCGTTGCTTTGCCAATCCTTGCCTTTACGTCTTCATCGGATCCTCCTTGTTCACTGATGAAGCTTCCCAGGTATGTGAAGTTTCCACCTCTTTCAGAGCTTCCCCATCAAGTGTGATTGAGTTGGTGTTCTCCGTGTTTCATTTAAGGATCATGCTTCTTCTCTTGTGTATGTTGAGACCTACTGATTCAGAGGCTGCAGCCATACTAGTTGTCTTCATCTGTATTTGTTCGTGTGTATGAGATAGAAGGAGTAGGTCGTGTGCGAATTCCAAATCTTCTAATTGATTCCGAGCTGTCCATTGTATTCCGTGCTTCCCCTCAGATGTGGTGGTCTTCATAATCCAGTCGACCACCAGAAGAAAGAGGAAGGGGTGGAGTAAGCAGCCTTGTCTGACTCTGGTCCTCACACGGAATGCGTGTGTCAGCTGTCCTCCATGCACGACTTTGCAGTGCAGTCCGTCTTGTGAATTCCGGATGACGTTGGTGATCTCAGTTACACCATAGTGTCGAACAAAGTTCTATGATGTCCTCCTATCCACATTGTCAAACGCCTTCTCATAGTCAGGGAAGTTGATGTGTAGTGACGAGTTCCACTTAATTGACTATTCAACAGAAACTCGTGACACGTTGAAGTTCGTGCTTTTTCGATCGCTTTCTAGTTGTCCTCCATAGTAGTTTCTTCTTCTTTGAGTCTTGGCACCCTCAGTTACTGTCGATTTGATTTAATGAATAAAACAATAAGCAATTCAGTCATACATGTATAAATTTATTAGTAATGATCAATATTTGCTACAATGTACACTTAAATTAGTAACTCAAGAGCCATCACAAACTACAGTAACGCGGAATTTTCACTACACAGAATCATTTTAATCTTGGTCAGAAGAGCAGCGGTTTAAAAACTTAAAACGGCATTTTCTCCATTATTGTAACATAAACTTAGTATTAAGTCCATTCCGAAGAGAGTTCATAGCTTTCCTTACAAGACTATGTATTTGGAGTTACGTACAGAATTTTCTTATCAATAAGAAGTTCAATATTCGAACACCTTGTGAACACAGCTCATTCAATCAAGACAGACTCTACGTTCAAACTCATCTACAAGGTAAGTAGAAGTCTTTCAAATACAATTAGACTGCATCTTTGCATTTCCGAAGCATTAACCATATCCCTGGAAAAGTCAGAATTGTGTGTGCAATAGAGACTGGTACAACCTCTTCTTCTACCATGGTCTTAATGTCTTATGATTTTTTCTCTTTTTCATACTCTTCTTCCTTTACAGTCATGTGTTTCATCTTCCCCTTAAATCTTCTACCCCCAACTAGTTTATTTTTGTTTCCACAATCATTCTGATTACATTTAATCTGAATTTCAACACTTTATCTTGTCATGCTGAGCCATCCTTTCCCAATGATAATTTCCCTATCTATCTTTTGATGAATACTTAAGCCATCAAACAATTATTAAATTTTCCTTATTTAAAATTTTTTTTAATACATTTGTTTATTTAACCTCAGTGTCACCATTTCTAACAGAAGTTTATTATCAGTATTATTATCATCCTGTAAAAATAAGTATATATATTTGCGATTGTACAGCTTTGAAAATGAATTCGCCGAAAAGAGAACTCTTCGCTGAACTAATCTTTCTTATTTAATGTCTTAATGGGTGTATTCGGTTTACTAAAGAAATAATATTTCAGTCTTAACATTATGACAACTTAGTCAATGTTCTGCAGCCTGATGGACAAATCAATAAAGCTTTTGATCACAAGGTGGTATCGCATACGATTTAAGTTTGTTTCCAGTTATCACTTATGCTTAGTATTTGAATATATTACGTACAGCTACCGCAAGTAGTTTGATTATTAAACATTAGGATTTATTTGAAAAACTTTCTCGACAAGTTACCTACTGAAACGTTTGAAATGTTAAAATAACGTTCCTATTTCCAACTGGAAGAATTCACTATCGAATCTAACATTAAACCATAAACAACAGTGTCAAGTAGCGAACAATGTTACACAATTCGATATAGAGGATAATAGGTTTATAGAATACATTATTTCAGATAAATCACGATGCATAACTTTTATTACTTGAAACAGACAAATCAGTAAAAAACGAATGAATGAGTGTACGGTTAAATTAGTAAGAAAAACTATCAAAAATGTCAAAAATTGCAGAGCTCATCAGATGAAACCTTATTAATAATAAAAGTTTGGAAAAATGCCTTTAATTAAAAGTAGAATTCGAAGACCGATCAAAGAACATTGCATATACCTAAACAGTGCGAATTTAATTGACCCGACAAAAGAAATGATTAGGTAGCAACAAAACAATTCTATAAGTCTCGAGAAAACTGTCATGAACAAATACAACAACCGAAGATTGAACAAACTACGTGCTGATCAACGAAACAACGACGATGACAAGGCCTGGGCTATTTGTAAGGTTAGTGACCTCTAGCTGAAGCATCCATCAAGTAGAACAGTTTCTACGTTAGATTAGAGATCACTAAACGTCCAACGGTTTACTGAATATCGTTGAGGTCAAGGACTACTAGCGCGAATTAGTCAGTAACTCTCCAAAGACTAGCCCATGCAGTAGTGACTCCACTTTGCACTTCTCTAATCTGCCGCTGTTAAAATAGGATCTTACTCTAGACATTCACCAAGAAAGGAAATCACCTGGTTATCTCGATTGGATAAGCTAGATTAGGTACCGACCACGAGGCGTGACTTTGACGTAAGCTAGGAGGCTACACTATTTCCATCCAACTCAAGTAGACCACGAACATCGACACAAGTCACTTACATACATTCACCTTGTTAGTGTACATGAAGCATACTCATACTTTACTTTCCTGTTAATTTGGACGAACAAAAACCTTGACAATGAAGCTAGGATATTCGCTCATGAGTATTTTAGCCCAAGGAGCGGTGAATCTACAATCGGAATCAACCCGTTCTTTGATAATGAAACATGCATTATATGTTTTTAGAATGAGGGATATTACAATCACAATTTGAGTTAAAATCAATATCTTGAGCATTTCCGGAAGATAAGTAATACGCAGTTAACTTTGTCAGAAAAAAAGTATGATCACTTAGCAACACTCAGGTTGATACAATTTGTTTCAGTATAATAAAATGAAATTGACAAGATATTTAACAGAGGTTGAAGGAATACAAATGTCTATGATTGTAAGACTGATCAAACATAAAGAATATGGTTTGAAAACAGGAAATTAATTCGCACAATAAAGAGGATGAGACAATAAAGGGACTGAAGATTCGGCAGAAAATGTGATAAATTTTGGGGTATGACATATTGGCTTTTCTTACCATTTATTACGAACATCGCGTGTATCTCAACAAAAGGGTCTCAGCATCTTTACATGACCTACGTCAAGAGTGAAAGATTTCGTATTAATGATACTCGCCCTTACCTTTATTCCAATCGATCACTAATTCAGTTAGCAATAATGAAAAAAACAACGAAAAAGTGCTTTAAACTAAACTTACACTTTTTATTGTTATATAATTTGACGTTATTGGACGTGGCATAGGTTTTTCAATCTTTTGTAAAAATCGTGGTTTTCTTAGAGCGGTATTTCGTTCACTTACTGAGGATTTTTGCAAATACTGTGCATGTAATTGTTTGGAAACGAAAAAATTAGTCAGCTGACCAATATTACTTTTTAATGTGCATAAATAATAAACGTTTCAATTAGTTAAAGTGATTCGATACAAAGGGTGTATGTTAATAGACAAACAGAACTCATCAACACAGCATGTATTCCAGTTCCCATACCTCATTAGAACAATGACATGACAATAACGGAGTTGAAGAACAAAATAATGATTCATTGCAATTACCACAAAATTTGCTGACAATGCAATACGACTCATTGAAGCAAACGTAGTGATTACTGAAAATTTCATATAACCAACAAAAACATACAAGACGGAGTGTAATAGGTCTCGAAAATTCAAAGATCTCCGACTAAATATGACTGAATATTAAAAACAGGATTTCCGTATTGATTTCAACTTTAATGAATATTTAAATCCTAGCAAAGTTGAAATACAATAATTAATAGGGATACATTTAAAGCAAAACTCCGCAAGTGACTCATCTACCGTTACTGCCGGTCCCAAGCCCAGGTAGAGGAGGAGGCAGTCTCAAAATGCCCTAGTACGGTCTAGAATGGGGAGAGTCAGCTCTCCCTCACGAAATGCTTTCACATGGCCACGTGTATACAGCCACTGCCAGGGAAGTCCTACTCGCCGCCTTCCCGCGGAGGGGGTGCTGTCTACGAAGTCGAGAGGGTGAAAAGCGAATGCCCGGAGCTTTAACTGGGTTAGTGGATACGGAAGATCCACCTAGCGGAGTTGAAAAACCCTGATTCCAAACCAATGGTACATATGGGCTCCAGGATCCTGAAGGAAAAAATGGCGAATGAACAAATTATTGGTCACCGGCTACCATGCGACTGCATCTCCTGACGTTACTCCACTGCCTTGTGGATTAGACCTTTAGGTCAAAGGCTCCGGATGTGGCCCACTAAGAAAACCACCTGTTTCGGTTTGGGCACCCGGACAGTATCCCAACCCCCACAAAATCGAGCGATTTATGTGGCGCAAACCTATTTGGTGCCTTCTTGTACCAATGTTTATCTGTTTAAATAAACAAATAAATAAGAAGAGGAGGTTTGGGCATAAAGTCAGCAATCCCATCCCGTAGAAAACAACCTTAATAAAAAACGCTAATCAAAATAAGCAAATTAAGCAATCTAAACTCTGTCCTGGAAGTTGAAGGGTCTTTATTCAGAAGAATTATGATGTCTCGTTGTGAAAGCCGAGATTCTTCGGAAGTCACAAAGCCAATGCCCCTTCTAACAACCAAGGGAACAACTAATATAGGTACCGCCATGTTGCAACTCCTCATTCCCGTAGCTATTTGACTGGTCCTCCCGGTCTCCCACATTGTCCCATTAGATCAATGCTGGACAGAAAAGGTTAGATTTAGGAGAAATGCTGCTGTACACAGGTCATGAAAAATAAAGTGCTCCGCACACTCAGGAAGTTGCTCTGATGCTGTCCAAAGAAGCACGTAAAGCATTTATAGGATGGGAATCTCATGGATCCAGAATCATCAAGGCGTCCCTCAAAACAAAGAAGGAGGGAATCACAATGCATGTTACCCAGTGTTGTGCACCCACCAATGATAGAAACGACAAAGATAACGACCAGTTTTACGAGAGGCTGCAATCGGTCATAGAGAAGTACTCAGGAAAGGAACTGAGCATACCGATAGGAGACCTAAACGCCAAAGTCGGAATGGACAACACCGAGTATAGTTACATGATGGAACGACATGGACTGGGAGAAAGAGACGAAGACGGTAAGAGATTCACGAATCTATGTGCATTCAACAATACAACCTTCCCTCGACATACTGAAAAACTCAACGAATTACGAATGGATCTCGGCAACACGTTCGAAGCCTCAAAGAAGAAGAAACTACTATGGAGGACAACTAGAAAGCGATCGAAAAAGCACGAACTTCAACGTGTCACGAGTTTCTGTTGAATAGTCAATTAAGTGGAACTCGTCACTACACATCAACTTCCCTGACTATGAGAAGGCGTTTGACAATGTGGATAGGAGGACATCATAGAACTTTGTTCGACACTATGGTGTAACTGAGATCACCAACGTCATCCGGAATTCACAAGACGGACTGCACTGCAAAGTCGTGCATGGAGGACAGCTGACACACGCATTCCGTGTGAGGACCAGAGTCAGACAAGGCTGCTTACTCCACCCCTTCCTCTTTCTTCTGGTGGTCGACTGGATTATGAAGACCACCACATCTGAGGGGAAGCACGGAATACAATGGACAGCTCGGAATCAATTAGAAGATTTGGAATTCGCACACGACCTACTCCTTCTATCTCATACACACGAACAAATACAGATGAAGACAACTAGTATGGCTGCAGCCTCTGAATCAGTAGGTCTCAACATACACAAGAGAAGAAGCATGATCCTTAAATGAAACACGGAGAACACCAACTCAATCACACTTGATGGGGAAGCTCTGAAAGAGGTGGAAACTTCACATACCTGGGAAGCTTCATCAGTGAACAAGGAGGATCCGATGAAGACGTAAAGGCAAGGATTGGCAAAGCAACGGACGCATCCCTATAATTGAAGAACATGTGGGACTCAAGACAACTGTCAGCCAATATCAAAGTCAGAATCTTCAATACGAACGTCAAGACAGTCCAACTAAACAAAGCTGAAACTTGGAGAACTACTACAGCCATCATCAAAAAAGCACAAGTACTTATAGTCACTTGTCTACGCAAGTTAGTCAATGTCCGTTGGCTGGATACCATCAGCAACGACCTACTGTGGGAAAGAACAAACCAGCTTCCAGTTGAAGAGGAAATCAAGAAAACACACTGAAAGTGGATAGGCCATACATTGTAGAAGTCACCAAACTAGATCGCGAAGCAAGCACTAACTTGGAATCCTGAAGGGAAACGGAAAAAAGGAAGGCCAAAGAAAAGCCTCACGGAAAATTGGAAAGAGACATGAAAAGGATGAATAGCAACTGGGAACAACTGAAAAGTATTTTCCTGGACAGAGTTCAATAAAGAATGTTGTTGGGCGACCTATGCTTATTCAAAAGCGTTTATAGGAATAAGTAGTCGATGAATGCCGACTATAGTTTGTACGTTATGGCACTTTAGTAATTAGCTTCACTGTTGGTGGGTCAAAATAACTTACGAGGTTGAGCACATGTTCATTTGAAAAGATGTATCTCAATCACTTAGGTATTGAATCGGTCTACTAATAATAATACATAAATATCATTTGTCGGTTAATATCCAACTTAACATCACATAATCTTGACTTATATATATATATATTTCTGAGAAAAAAAATATAATTCTCAGTATATTTCCTCTGATGACCAAAGGTGTGGATCAAGATGTACGCTGCATTCGAATCGAAATTTTTTAAATAGCCAACATTATATCCCAGTCAGTGAAAATGCTCTCACTATGAAATAAATTCTGGTCGCTGTTGTTTGTAAAGTGAGAAAACTGATACGAAATAAATATTTTGTGAAAGTCTATGAAAACAATAATGAGTAGTTTGAGCAGTGTCTGGTATCAAGATGAAATGCATTAGATTTCAAGAGTACACTCTTCACTTCCATCACAGTTATTCAATCGAAATTCTATATCATTCCTATTTTCACGTTAGATGAATCAATTGAGTTAGTACTATTTAGACTAAGTAGAGTTGTATGCCAAACTAATTTTTAAATGTGATTATTATTCGTCAAAAATTTATTATCATATTTAACATAATAATTTTCCTGCATTGATATTATAAATATGACGAATTAAGTGTTTTGTATGAATGTGGTTTTTGCTATCGTCTGATGTATCCGCTTTAACACCAGTGAAAACCGCAGACTAATCGACAAATGTTATTCCCTAGTTTGAGAAATCTCAACGTCAAAGGAGATAGAATCCGAAAACTTCAGATCCTGAAAAATTGTTATCTTATTGATACATAGTATCCGGTATCCAATGGTTAACATTTACGATAGCAGTTGATTTAAAAAATTACGTAATCACCACTTAAGATCATTAAGGTAGAGTTGCTACACTTCTGACTTGATTGATTTAACAGGTCGCAGGTTTTCACTCGAACCTCTTAGCAATATCATTTTCTCCATGAAATTCTAAGGCCATCAGTTTAATCGCGCATGATTGTAGGTGTGTGCTGATGACAAGTTGTACACTAAGATAAAGTGGATAACCAGTCCTCCTTAGTTCACAACAATTCACAATGGTTTATGCCAGTTAATGATGAAAACAATCACTTAATTCAGCAATCGTTTATCTAAACCATGTTTCCTTTCAAAAAGATAATATGAGTTTAAAAGAATGTATACCAGGTAAAAATGAATAACTTTTATGTACCATGAAAGAAATCTTTCCTATAGTTAAACAATTTTTACACAAGTAAAGAGACATACATCGTGTAATTCAGCTAATTCTTTTTGATGGCGATATTTACGTTTTAAAAATCCATCTTTTGTGTTCAGTTTCGGTTGTTGTAATCTAATTCTTGGTTGGAATGCAAATCGAGGCAAACTGGCTTCTAAAGTAAGTAGACCTGAAAAAAGGGACAAAAATACTGAATGGATGAATGGATATGAAGCTTTTCAAATGGGATTATAGTTTGGCATTTATTTTGTGTTATTTAGACGTTAATAAACAACGTAAAAATCATTACAAGTGTGTATTAATCGAAGCTATCATTCTTCAAATCGACACAACAAAGAATTGTTGTTTACATAAACATAGCTCCCTTTATCATCTTGAGGCAAAAGTTCAGTGGACCAGAAACAAGTGGCTACATAATGAATAAAGGCTGATAATAATTAAGAATAAAATGAGTGAAGCTCAGTTAGTTAAAATAAGATTTATAATCTAGAAAACAGTCGAAATAAATACATATTGATGTAAGTAATTGAAGAAAGAATTGAGCAAGGTTTTATGGTGTAATGAAGGAACGTTTGTCATCAATGCAAGGAAAGATCAACAGATAACTCCTTTTGAACACATAAATCTGATCTCTGATGACTGAAAGCGATGGCTTCAGCAAACTTCAGAAGACTGAAGTTTGGCTTTTTATTAATCATCCTACAAGATTTGGAGGTATTGATCTAATGTTCCCTGTTCAAAAGATGTTTCGTGATTACAATATTTAAAATAGTCCTTTCTCTTATTCGAAGGCGTTTTGGAACATGTTCAAAAAATCTAAGATAAGTTCTCTTTTCTGTTCGGTCAATGTGATTGCTTTGGCAGGTACATGTGAATTGATGATAACATGAAAGTAGTACTTGTCAACCTTTGATTGTTTTTTTTAAATACTTTGTTTCATACTGAGCCTTCCTTTGCCCTGAGGAAAAACATTCCCTCGTTACACAGTAAAACCTTGCTCAATTCTTTCTTCAATTAACTATATCAATAGGTCTCTTTAATTCGACTGTCTTCTAAATTATAAATCTTACTTTAAATAAATGAGCTTCATTCATTTTATTCTTAATTATTATCAGCCTTTATTCATTACGTTGCCACTTGTTACTGGTCTTCTGCTGCTATCGATTTTATAGAATATTCTTATACATAAGATATATATTTACATTTTATTTAGTCTTTTAAATTTATTTACACATTTGATATACTGTACTGATATGTGATCATATTAACTTTCAACTAAACTCTTTTGTATTGATAATTTAAACCCGTTTTGTAATTATGATTTTTAGATTATGCATATCACGAGAACTAAACGAAATAAAAGGAAATCATGTTATTCTGCTTAAGTCTTTGTTGTTATTTCCTTCAAGACTAATGTTTGTATAGTCTTATGTATTTTGAGTTGGTCCATACCATAAGAAAGAATTTTTCTTCTGAATAATGTGTCAGTCGGATTGATTAACTGCCACAATATCAGCTCTATATGAATATTACTATATATTGCTGTAGTATAACCAAGATAAAATTGATAGATAAAAGTCGCAGAGCATGTATATGGCTTTACTGGTGTTGAATTCTATGATTTGAGAGGCTTGATACCACATCTTTTATTTCAATTCTAGACAAATCTACTACAAATAAAAATTCTCTACTTTCATTTATATCAGAAATTGCCACCAATAATGTTCTCCAGAAAGCTTAATTAATAAATTACTCAACTTAAGGGACACAATGACACCAAACTGAGCCATTTAAGAATTAAAGCTTAACAGAAAACTTCAAAAAGAAAACCATAAATAATCAAAGTTATAATCTAGCCAAAACGCAATATGTAAAGTCTTGGTTAAGAGACTGATTTGAACTATGATTTATTGAACAAAAAACAAGCTACAAAACTTCGTTCATTTTGTTTCTGTTGACAATTTAAATAGTTTCTGCTTATGTAACTCTTCAAAACAATGTGAGTAGAGTAAACGTTTGTAAAAACAAACTGAATCCGTTTTGTCGTTGTTATGCCATACGGTCATCCAGACCTGATACTGATACATAAGCTTCCTATAAACAAACCTAACCTGCTACTTGAGTCAGAAGACCGAGGGTGAGAAGGAAAATGTATTGACTGAAACCGAATTGAGAATATACACGTACATCACTTCTACTTAGATGAAGACACATTCTCAACTGATGTCGTATCCCGCCTTAGAAAACGAAGTCAAATCTTGGTCAATAACGTGCGCTTACATTTTAACCTATATCTTGTTGGGCCAGAGTATCAGCTTTATAAAATTCGCATCAGCTACATAAAACATAAATAAGTATCTAATCACAAGTTCGTAGAGCATAAAAGAACTGAGTAAATACAAATATATTTGGCGTACCATAGTGAAACTTAACCACGCTCTCATACATCTTACTTTATAATTTAATTTATGATGGTTTGGATTATCCCGTTTTTCATATTTCTTGACTGAAATTCGATCAGTCCTGGTTGGTGTATGTATATCCTGCCTAGATTGCTTCGATATAATCAGTATATAAGTTTATGTAGATGGAATATAGCTGGGAGTGAAATCCATAATGTGAATATCGTCTTATTTGGGACTCGTCAGCTGGATGTATCTGCTAGCCACATTCCATCTATTTAATACAATCTTACTTAATGGTCAGAAAAGTACAATATCTTCAGTTCCAAACCCTATTTTTTCAAACCAGTTGATGGAAAAATTCGAAAAAATCTTTTCTATATTTCATAACTCCTTCCCCAAAGATCTATCTTCACAAAGAATTTTACATTTCTAAATCCATAATGAAGTCTTTCATAATTCTTTTAGTGACATCTAATTCCTTTTACTATCACGTAATCCTACCACTACTTTGAATGCCATGCTATCAGTCTTATTAGTTCCATTTGACTGTCTTTATATTGTATGCAAATTTGGGTGGATGCATACTTATGCCATGTCTTAGAAGCACGACAATACAAAGAAACTACAAATGACGCACATATATAACCAATATTTCTGACTTGAGAACTCAAGCACTGATCTAGTTTCCAAGTATAAAAAATACGCGATAATTATCACAATGTTGTGATTCATGAATCAAATAACAACTTCCTTGCTCTCTGTGTTATGACCTTGGTGTCTGACTTTTCTATCACGCGACTTATCTACCAATCCGAATACGACTTATACGAATCTTCACACTAGGCCAACCAATGACGTTCAACCGGTGTGGGCAGTTTAGCGTCCTTATTGGTCCTATGTCCTACGAGCCCTTCCACTTGAGTCCAGAACACAATACCAGCTTCCGAATATGAATCGAATCGTTTATTTCAGGCATACTTGGTTTATATATCAATCAGACAGACCGCAACGTACCATAAAATAGGAAATAATATTTGTACACAAATAAGCCCAAAAAGTGGCTGTGAATGTGGGAGGCAGTAGTTAATAAACTGAACATAACTTAAGAACCGTAAATCGTACAATAATAAATTATAGGTCAAAATAAAGCTTATCATAAAAGGAATATAAATATACATAGTGTAATTGTTGAGTAGTTATACAATAAGAATATTTATAGAATATTAGTCCATGAATAGTCCTTGGAAGTTACCTGTAATTTAATCTTCACCGGATATAACACCCCCCTTTTTTTGAAGCATTAGAGATAATAATGATCCTTAGGATTTATTTTTATTCGATTGGGTTTTCGTCTGATGCGCTGCGACCTCCTTGGGAGTGTTTCACACGTCTTGTTATTATTCGGATCATTTTTAATTTCATTATTCGACTCAGTTAATATATTTATTGGTATATTCGACTTTGTAGCATTTCTGTCTCTCGTTCTTGTCTGGTTGGCTGTATCTGGTTTGCATGTCTCACCCATATCTTTTTCCAACTTTTACTTCGTAGATAACTTTCCCTTTTTTTCGTATTATTATGCCAAACTTCCAAGTTGGCTTTACTCCCGTGAAATCTCTTGTTATTACCGCTTGTCCCACCTTAAACCTTCTGGGCAATGCACCGTGCCGCTTGTTGAATTGCTGTTCCATTCGTTTGTTCTTTCGGAGGTTGGCTCTAAGCTTTGGTTTCATTTGCTCCATAGGTATTCTAATCTTTCTCCCAAAAATTGCTTCTGCTGGGCTTTCTTGATTATTTGTTGTTGGGTTTGGTGTTGCTCGGTATGTCTGTAGAAATCTTTGAATCATCTCGTCTATTTCACCTTCTCCCTCGGCTTTAAGTAGTGCTCTTTTAAATGTATCTACGAACCTCTCAACTAGACCGTTTGACTGTGGATGATATGGGGGTGTCTTTATATGCCTAACAGCGTTGGCGACGCAGAACTTCGAGAATTCAGCGGAGGTGAACTGTGGCCCATTATCAGATACTAATACATCTGGACACCCAAAGCAGCTAAATACTTGTCTCAGTTTTTCAATAGTAGCTTTTGTAGAAAGAGACTTTACGTAGTGGATTTCTGGCCATTTTGAGAAAGCATCAACCATCACTAAGTACTGTTTTCCGTTTATGGGACCGGCGAAATCTACGTGTACTCTTGACCATGGATTTGTTGGTGTCCCCCAACTCTGCATTTCTGTCTTACGAGGGGCTTTGATAGCTTTTGCACACGCGGAACATCTCTCAACATATTCTTTGATCTGAGCGTCAATATTCGGCCAATATACATATCCACGTGCAAGTGCCTTCATCCTTGCTACCCCTGGGTGTGCGGCATGCAGTTGTGACATCACCTTACGGCGTAAATTTATGGGTACGATTACTCGATTCCCAAACATCAAGCATCCATCCACAAGTGATAGGGAATTCCGACGGTGGGAATACTGTTCAATATTTTTGTCGTCTATATGGGCAGGCCAACCATGTTCGAGGTATCTAATAATCTGCTTCAATTCATCATCTTCTTGAGTATAACGTTTAATGTCTTCACAGGATAACGGTGTTGCTTTTATGGCAACTTGTAGTATATGGTGAACATCATTCTCCAACGATATCGTTGCGATAATAGAATCTTCACTTTCTGCTTCTGATTAGCAATTAATCTAGATAAAGCATCAGCTTGTCCAAACTTTTCAGTTGATTTATATAGGATTTGGAAATCATAAGCAAGCAACGTAATAGCCCAGCGTTGTAACCGATTCGCTGTATAAGCAGGAATACCTGACTTTGATCCAAATATAGATAAAAGCGGCTTGTGGTCTGTTAAAAGCGTAAATCGACGACCATAAATCATTTTATGAAATTTCTTTACTGCAAAAACTAAAGCTAATCCTTCCTTCTCAATCTGACTATATTTTCGTTCGGCTGAGTTAAGAGTTCGGGATGCATGAGCAATTGGCTTTTCTTTACCATCAGGAAAACGATGACTGATAACGGCTCCAATTCCATAGTTTGAAGCATCGGCGGCTACAATTATTTCAAGCTTTGGATTATAATGAGTCAGCAACAGTTTAGAAGATAAAATCCTTTTTATTTCATCGAAAGAATCTTGGCATTCTTTTGTCCAGTGCCATGTTGTATTAGCCATCAAGAGTTGATTTAATGGTTGTCGCAATTTATACATCTGGGGTACGAACATACTATAATAACCAATCATCCCCAAGAATGAACGAAGGGTTGTAACCTCAGTCGGTCTGGGCATATTTTTGATAGCATTTATATTGTCTGGATCCGGTCGACGACCATCTTTATCAAATATATATCCCAGGTATTTAACAGACTCGAGCAGAAATTCACACTTTTCTTTTTGTAACTGAAACCCAGCTTGTGATATTTTAGTGAGCACCACATCTAACCGACGCATTAATTCCTGCGCGGAAGAGCCAACAACTATAATATCATCCAAATAAACTGCTACACCTTCGATGTTAGACACCATAGTATCCATTATCTGCTGGAAAATTGCTGGAGCTGGCTTAACACCAAACGGTAATCGGTTAAATCGATAAAGTCCACGGTGGGTATTAATGGTTAATAACTCCTTTGAATCTTCGTCAACTTCCACCTGTAAGTAAGCTTCAGACAAATCAAGTTTAGAAAAATAACGTCCACCGTTCAGTTTAATAAATAAATCCTCTGGCAAAGGTAATGGATATGAATGATTTTGTAAAACGTCATTTAATCCTGTTGAAAAGTCTGCACAAAGGCGAATAGCTCCGCTCGCTTTCTGAACTACTACAATTGGTGCTGCCCATGCCGAATAATTAACAGGTTGTATAACACCGAGTTTCTCTAGTCGGTCTAATTCTTTGTCGACTTTGTCAATAGCTGCATATGGAACTTGACGCTTTGGACGGAAAACAGGTTTTACATCCTGTCGTAGGTATAATTTTGCCTTCTCAATTGTGCAGCATCCCAATTTATTCTGGAACAAGTTTTTATGTTTCTGCAAAAGATCTTCTATCGTTACGACTTTCTTGGTTACATGAACTGCGGGTGGATCTCTAGGATTATTTGCGCCTTTCATTGTGCATATTTCATTTAATGGTACATCCCATAAATTTAGTTTATCTATCCAGTCTATACCAATAAGGTCTAACTCATGTCTGTTCGTTAAGTAGCAATTTCCTGTAAAGCAATTACCTCGGAATTTAACAGAGCATTTTATCATTCCCACAAGTTTCAATATATCTCCGGACGCATTCCGTGCAGTGTGCTCTGTTGGTAATACTTTCGGACACCCAATTAAATACCACGTTCGTTTCGAGATTAGTGTGATATCTGACGCTGTGTCCAATTGCAATCGAATATAAACACCATTAACAATTAATTCCACATATCTTCTTTTATTCGCTACGCTTAGAGCCAGTGTAGAATATACGCTGTTTATATACTTATTTTCGTACTGGTGCGGACGTCTGGTTCGTTTTGATCTTAAACTTTCTCTAGTTCGGCAGACTAATTCTTTGTGGCCAACTTTATTGCATATAGTGCATCTATGATTTCTAAACCGGCAAAATCTTGAGAAATGCCACGCACCACAATACCAACATTTAGTTGCAGGTTTAGGAGTTTTCGAGTGATATTTATGACTTTTGGTACTATTTTGTCTTTGACCTGTCTTAACAGCATGAACAGAATTTGATGGCACAGCACTTTTGGTTTCCAGCATAGCTGTATCTTGTTTTAGGTTTATTAATCGTTGACATTCAGTGGTGATAGTTTGTAACGTCATTTCATCATCATGTTCCATACGGGATAACAACTTCATGCGAAAGTCAGCATCAACAGGAGAGTTCAGACCAGAAATGAATAATAAGCATTTAAATTGATCACTGGTTAATACATTTAATTTAAATCGTTCTGCTTGTAAATTTACTCTTCCGGCGTACGTAGTATAATCTTCATCAGCTTTTTTTTTTTCTGTAGACAGTTATACCGGATACGGAATAAAGACGACTGTTCACAAAACATTTTATTTAGGATGTTAACAGTTTCATCGAAATTAACTTCTCGTGGATGTTTAGGCAGAATATGGTTTTTATACTTTTGATGCTCATTAGGACCAAGTTTCTGTAATAGCAGCCGACTTTCTTTGCATCATCTATAGCAGCAAATTCAACTCGGAAAATATCTTCAATTCTGCCAAACCATGCTTCAAAAGTGTGACCATTGTCTGCATCAAATATAAATTCTGAAACTGGATTAAGGTATGACTCGATACTTTTATGTTCTGGAATCTCTTGTTGGATAGATAGTTTCCCCAAAAGTGTTTCCAAGAGTTTCTGTTGAGAAGCTAACATCTGCTGCTGCTGTTTTTTTTTTTTTTTCTGTTGTTGTAATAATAACTGCAACTGTTCTAAGGAAATCGACATTTTTTTTCTGCCAATAATATTAACTCCAAAAAACACCGGCAATTATAATAGCTAATTTATTTCCAAAATCTGAGTCACCACTTGCCGTATTATTATTTTTTTTTTGCCAAAATCCCCGTCGCCAATTTTTATGACCTTGGATGTCTGACTTTTCTATCACGCGACTTATCTACCAATCCGAATACGACTTATACGAATCTTCACACTAGGCCAACCAATGACGTTCAACCGGTGTGGGCAGTTTAGCGTCCTTATTGGTCCTATGTCCTACGAGCCCTTCCACTTGAGTCCAGAACACAATACCAGCTTCCGAATATGAATCGAATCGTTTATTTCAGGCATACTTGGTTTATATATCAATCAGACAGACCGCAACGTACCATAAAATAGGAAATAATATTTGTACACAAATAAGCCCAAAAAGTGGCTGTGAATGTGGGAGGCAGTAGTTAATAAACTGAACATAACTTAAGAACCGTAAATCGTACAATAATAAATTATAGGTCAAAATAAAGCTTATCATAAAAGGAATATAAATATACATAGTGTAATTGTTGAGTAGTTATGCAATAAGAATATTTATAGAATATTAGTCCATGAATAGTCCTCGGAAGTTACCTGTAATTTAATCTTCACCGGATATAACACTCTGGTTTAAGTTATCCTTCTGGTACCTTGAGAATGCACTACTGAAAAAAAATGATTTACGGTTTAAGCTAAAGTGTATTTTCTAAATACGTAAATGTACCATTGAATTACCTTCATAACGCGATGAATATATATTTTTTACAACATAACGTTCAGAACTACGATCTGGAAATACACCAAGTCGCGTGAGTGGAGCAAAAACTTGAGATGATGGTTTAGCATAATCCATTATCATATCACGTTTAAATTTATATTCTTTAGCAGCTAACCGAAGTTTCAATAATTTGCGTAACTCTGCAGTAGATACAAAGAAGGAAAGACACAAAGGAGAATGAAAATTCTTATTTATCCATAAACCACAACGGTGATCGTCACAAAACGAATAGTGATATACTATAATTTATTACAAACTGATGTCAGTTAACAACCATTAAGAAAGAAGAAGCATTGAACAGTTGCCTGGTCATGGTTTAGGGCCTTTCATTAGTGAGCAACTATAATCCTGCACCAAACTAATATTATCCTAAATCGAAAAATGACTCCAAAAACCATTAGAATTGTTCATTTGGTAATCAACTTTTAAACAGATTTTCCATAGCTGCAACCTAACTAATTTGGAAGTGTAGTAATAGCTAAAATATGATATTGGGTAGCGGTCATGACAGATAGAAAACCGTTAAATTCACGAGTCGATCTAAGCTAGACCATCATTGGAAACCTTGAAGCACTGGACGGCCGTTTCGTCCTACTGTGAGACTCCTCAACAGTGCGCACCCATAACCTCGTAGGCTGGTTCGAGTCCCGCATGTACTAATGAGGAGCTCATACTAGGACGAAACGATCGTCCAGTGCTTCCAGGTTTCTAATAAAGGTCCAGCTTAGTTCGACGCGTGAATTCAACTGTTAAAATACTGCAATCTTCATAAATAGAAAACTGACTGAAACAAAAAAATGTAAAGCATTTTATTCCTACTCACTGGTTGATACCTAATAGCCCTTGGTTCGACTTCATGAAGTGCCGTCGGTGCGAACCGTTGACGATTGTTAAACCAGATAGAAGCGTCAGTAAGTTTCTAGTTGAAGCCCATACGTAATGAAAGTTATTATCAGATTAGTAAATTACTTAAAAACTTCTAATTAAGGGGCGTTTTTAAATACAATCACTCTGGTGAGAAAATCAAACCATTTGTATATCTAATTTCTCTCTGGAATCGGAGAAGTATTATGGTAACAAGTTTATTTCTTTATCACTTTTGCGATCACAATTGCCAGTCAAAGCTAGATCTAGGCGTTGTGCAAGCTAGCACTCATCTTGAAGACATAAATTTAGTCGTCATATGGGAATTGATTTTTTATGTAGTACTTGAAGAGGCAGTAATGACTGTCAAGACTAGATACTTTAACACTGAGGTATTCGAGACTCAACTGACCTACAGGACTTAGATTTTCACACTGAACTTTTATTGAGTGTTAATTAATTCCATGTTTTTGATATCACAAACTAACCTAAGTTAGACATTCATTGGAAAACGGTAAACATGGGAAATCTGTTGCTTCCTATCATGGAACCCTTCAGCAGCCCACATTCACGACCTCACTGAGGACCGAACCCAGGACCATCAGCCCCACGGAAGGCCTTCATCCTCTAGATTAATGAGTTGGATCCAATGATGAACATGTTTAACCTCAGTCAATCCGCGACATTTTGCAACAATCTATTATCTTCTGTTGGTAACCGTCATATCATAGTGAAGATTTAATTACGAGTAACTTCTGAGGAATATTAATGGACTAATATTATACATATTCCCATTGTATAACTATTCAGTAACTAGATTATGTATATCTCTATTCCTCTTATTATAAGCTTTATTTTAACTTATAGACTATTATTACACAATTTACTGTTCTTAAATTATACTGTTTATTGATTACAGTCACGATCACAGCCACATTTTGGCTTGATCTTGTGCAAATGTTATTTTCTATTTTATAGTACGGTGTGGTCTGGTTGGTTTGTATATAAACCAAGTATGTTTCAAATATATGATACATGTGGTGGAAGCTCCACGTGGAGCCCCTCTGGAACTACTGCCGGTCCCAAGCCCGGATAAAGGAGGAGGGTTGGGCATGGGGTTAGCGTCCCCATCCCGTAGAAAACTAACTCGCCAAAAAAACGCTAACCAGAAAAATTTATTCGAACCAACTAAACTCTGCCCTGGGAGTCAGAAGGTCTTCATTTAGAAGAATTATGATGCCTCATGATGAAAGCCGAATTCCTTCGGAAGTTACGAGGCCGATGCCCCTTCTGACAACCAGAGCGACCATTTATTTAGGTACATGGAATGTTCGTACAATGTGGGACACCGGGAGAGCCTTCCAAATTGCTGCAGAAATGAGAAGATACAACCTAGAGGTACTTGGGATCAGTGAAACACATTGGACACAAGTTGGACAACAACGACTAACTACAGGAGAGCTCCTGTTATACTCCGGCCATGAAGATGAAAATGCACCACATACACAAGGAGTTGCATTGATGCTGTCCAAACAAGCGCAAAATGCGCTTATAGGATGGGGATCTCATGGACCAAGGATCATCAAAGCCTCGTTCAAAACAAAGAAAGAGGGTATTTCAATGAACATCATCCAATGCTATGCGCCTACCAACGACTACAATGAAGACGCTAAACATCAATTCTACAATAGGTTGCAGTCAATCGTCGAGAAGTGCCCAACAAAAGACCTGAACATTCTGGTGAGAGATTTAAATGCCAAGGTTGGAATGGACAACATCGGATATGAAGACATCATGGGACGACACAGACTTGGAGAAAGGGACGAAGATGGTGAGAGATTTGCAAACCTATATGCCTTCAATAAACTGGTAATAGGCGGCACTATATTCCCACATAAACGCATTCACAAAATCACATGGATACTAACAAACTCAACAAATTCAAGATAGTCCTCAGCAACAAGTTCCAGGCCTTTCATGATCTACTCAATGGAGAAGGAACTACTGTGGAGAGCAACTGGAAGGGGATCAAAGAGGCAATCACTTCAACATGTCATGAGGTCCTGGGTCACAAGAAGCACCATCACAAGGAATGGATCACTGTTGATACACTGGATAAGATTCAAGAAAGGAGGAACAAGAAGGCAGCAATCAATACCAGTCGAACAAGAGCAGAAAAAGCCAAGGCACAAGCTGAATACACAGAAGTAAACAAACAAGTGAAGAGGAGCATCAGAACCGACAAACGTAAATATGTGGAAGATTTAGCAACGACGGCGGAAAAGGCTGCAAGAGAAGGAAACATGAGACAACTGTATGACACGACAAAGAAACTCTCTGGAAATCGCCGCAAACCAGAACGACCAGTGAAAAGCAAGGAAGGCAAGGTAATCACCAACATTGAAGAGCAACAAAACAGGTGGGTAGAACACTTCAAAGAACTCTTGAATCGACCAGCTCCACTGAACCCACCCAACATCGAAGCAGCACCCACGGACCTCCCAATCAATGTTGGCCCACCAACAATTGAAGAAATCAGCATGGCCATCAGACAAATCAAGAGTGGCAAAGCAGCAGGACCGGACAACATCCCAGCAGAGGCACTAAAAGCAGACGTAGCGGCAACTGCAAGGATACTCCACATTCTCTTCAATAAGATTTGGGATGAGGAACAAGTACCAAAAGACTGGAAAGAAGGACTTCTGATCAAAATACCGAAGAAAGGCGATCTCAGCAAGTGTGATAACTACAGGGGCATCACTCTTCTCTCAATACCGGGAAAAGTCTTCAACAGGGTATTGTTAAACAGGATGAAGGACTGCGTAGACGCCCAACTTCGTGACCAACAGGCAGGATTCCGTAAGGATAGATCGTGTACAGACCAAATCGCAACTCTACGGATCATTGTGGAACAATCAATTGAATGGAATTCATCACTCTACATCAACTTCATTGACTACGAAAAGGCATTTGATAGCGTGGACAGAACAACACTATGGAAACTTCTTCGACACTACGGCGTGCCTCAGAAGATAGTCAATATCATAAGGAATTCCTATGATGGATTAACTGCAAAATCGTGCATGGAGGACAGTTGACAAAGTCGTTCGAAGTAAAGACCGGTGTCAGGCAAGGTTGCTTACTCTCACCCTTTCTCTTTCTCCTGGTGATCGACTGGATCATGAAGACGTCAACATCTGAAGGGAAGCATGGGATACAGTGGACGGATAGGATGCAGTTGGACGATCTAGACTTCGCCGATGATCTGGCTCTTCTATCCCACACACAACAACAAATGCAGAAGACGACCAGTGTAGCATTGGCTCCAGCAGCAGTAGGTCTCAATATACACAAAGGGAAAAGCAGGATTCTCCGATACAACACAGCATGCACCAATCCAATCACAATTGACGGAGAAGATTTGGAAGATGTAAAAACCTTTACGTATTTGGGCAGCATCATTGATGAACAGGGTGGATCTGATGCAGATGTGAAGGCACGGATCGGCAAAGCAAGAGCAGCATATTTACAACTGAGGAACATCTGGAATACAAAGCAACTGTCAACCAACACCAAGGTCAGGATTTTCAATACAAATGTCAAGACAGTTCTACTGTATGGGACAGAAACCTGGAGAACTACGAAAGCCATCATCCAGAAAATACAGGTGTTTATTAACAGTTGTCTACGCAAAATACTTTGGATCCGTTGGCCGGACACTATTAGCAACAACGTACTGTGGGAGAGAACAAACCAGATCCCAGTGGAGGAAGAAATCAGGAAGAAGCGCTGGAAGTGGATAGGACATACATTGAGGAAAGCACCGAACTGCGTCACAAGACAAGCCCTCACATGGAGTCCTGAAGGCCAAAGAACACATTACGCCGAGAAATGGAAATAGACATGAGAAAAATGAACAAGAATTGGATGGAACTAGAAAAGAAGGCCCAGGACAGAGTGGGTTGGAGAATGCTGGTCGGCGGCCTATGCTCCATTGGCAGTAACAGGCGTAAGTAAGTAAGTAATAGTGGAAGCTGATACTGGTGTTCTGGATTTAACAGTTGAAGCTAGGCCGGGAAAAGCACCAATAAGGACTCTAGGCTGCTCGTACCTGTCAATACATCGTTGGTTTAGCACGGCACTAAGATTGTATAAGTCGCATTTCGATTGGCAAATAAATCACGTGATAATTAACCGGGCTTAAAAACACAACATTAACTGCTTATTGGTTTTCAATGGATGTCGTTTGTTGCTTCATGATATCAATAATATCCAATAATCTTTATAATCACCTTATACTGATAGTGTAATGTTTGTCTAATCCCTTAGCGTTGATCGTAATCGATAGGTCAAGTTTCAGTCTAGTCACTAGTTGATATCGTGCACACTATATTATATCAGATGGTTGGAGGCGATCGGCAAGAAACCCTGGACCGATATTTTATGGTATGTCGTCCAGTGTTGAACCACTTAGACTAATGGCCATATTACCACTTAATCGGTGAAATTACAAAAATGGCATTGGTAACTACTCAGTGGTCGGTCGACTTATATATTTATAAAATCTCAATGAGTAGAAAATTGAATTTGTGACGTCACACAACCGAGTTTATTTTTCTTATTCAGAGAAATAACAAAAGAACTAAATTTACCTAAGTTTAAATAGTACAAATGGAATAAAGTAGGGTATTTTGAGTATAATCAAAATCAGAATAAGTCTGATAATGTTAATATTATGTCGTTTTAGTTAAGGTATTTCTATGTGAGATCGACCGACATTCAAGCGACTGTGGCTTTTTTCTTTAACTCTAATAATACATTTCCAGGATATGACCATAAGTAATAGAAAATAGTGATTTTTTTTATTGTTAGCGAAATAAGTGCTCAATATGTTCAGGTGCACACTGTTCTCCACTCATACATATAAAGATTACAGAATTCTGAGGTTGAAACCACATTGGAACTTAAATCCAAACTGGTGAAAACGTAATTATTTGAGTTCATTGCCAGTGAAAAGATAATCATCCCATAAATTGTTGATTTTTATATCCATCCTAAAACAATCTTAACCGATTGTGTCACTTTTAAAAGGATTAATATTATTGGGCGACATATTTGAGTGAAAAACAGGGAAGTCATGACGATTTGTTCAATAATGAGTGGGGAGATGTGAGCAACAAATTTAAACCAGTCATTTTAATGGTATTCTAAACCAACTGTCTAAAAAAACACAACTCATATTGAATGCATGTGACTGCCAGTTGTGTAAATCACCACACTGAGAGAAAAAGTTCTTTGTATTTCTTAGTCTTTTAATTTGAACTTCTGAGCTGGAGTTATGTGGATTAGTATTATTTATTGTGGTTGCCGTTACATCTATTTTCGCTGCCGAAGCTTACAGTAAATACTGTTATTTAACAGACAGAACAATGAAGTATATCAGTTCAAGTTTTTTTAATGCTCGATCCTATACTGACAACAGAAGACCCACTAACTGTGTTCATCACATGACCAAACGGGAGCCTCGGATTCCCACTTTATTAAACCTCTAGTGAGAATGCCAGTAATACATCTGAGTAGTCACAAGTACTTTTCACTATTTAGACTTTTAACTCATGTGTTTATTAGTAGGAAAATATAAGAACACAACGAACCACCACTAGCGAGTTTCAATAATTACACGAGGGAACTTTTGATGAGAAGCTGAAATTTATAGTTAATTGACTGTAATTAATAAATGGTAAACAATAAGCTAACAACTCATGAGATGAAATATGCCTTACGACTAAGTCAATGTAAAAAATACAATAAAACAATCATAAAACTGTCTAATAAATAATCGATGGATGTTTAAGCTGGAAACAGTGTGTGTCTCCGCTAAAAAGTGCTACTTTCTAGCGAGGTGTATATGAAAAACAACAAACTCAAAACAGCTGAAAATATTTACCTATATACAACATAATGAATCCTAGTACGTAATAGTTTAAAAAATTTTAACGTTTATGTGAGAAAATTCAGAGTTTCAGCAACAGACAAGTACTGTGAAATATGAATGATTTTTTTTATTTAAGTACTTGGTAAATATTTAGCCCTAGAATAAATACATTCACACAATTGTGCACCATAGATATTGCCATTGAGTAACTAGTATCTAGATTATAAGTCCCAAATAGGACGAAATGCACATTCTGCATTCCATTGATAGCCACTAACTATATCTGCCTTAGAAATGTTAAAAGTAAAGTTGACAAGCTGACAGTAGAAGAAATCGAGAAATTAGTCACTTTGAAAAGACTCCATCGCGAAAAATTTATAGCCCAATGAGGACAATTTAACTATAATGATTCGTGAACATACATCAGATACAGTAGAAGATTACATCGAGCATAAATTAGAACTACTTAAGCTAGAGGTGAACAAGGTTCATGATAAACCAAATGTGTATCAAACTTTATACGAATTTCAGGAATTTTTTGAGTAAATGACAAGTGATAATAAAACTGATCTTGTCAACTTTATTCATTTCTGCACAAGGAAAGCTAAGAAAGCCATAGAGCAGTGTATAATCATGGATGGATCTAAAGGTTGTATGTTAGCTAAGGATAAACTGGAAGAAATATTTGAACGCAATTATGTGGTTGTTACGTAGGTTCAGGACTTTTATATTTCTAAAAGAACATTATACAGTCCGATCACCAAACCGAGATGTAGTAATTCGCATTTGCTTTTAGTGGTATGAAGGGAAAAGGTTTTATTATCATCGGTGTGTAACTACCGCACTCCTGATAGGATTAGCTATAAAATGTCACAGGTATCTGCCAGAATTTCTAAAGGTATTGTTTTCTCCGCTAGGTTCGAAGGTAAGGTCATGGTTTCGAATCCGTCTGGATTCCTGTATGAATACTAATGACAAGTCTCGAACTTGGAGAATGTCCACGGCTCACTGATTGTCGATGGTTTTCCAGTTGGTATTAGATCTAGACGTTAATAACTTTATCATATCACCTTATTTATTCAAAATATATAGAAACATACACAAAACCGCCTAATTTAACAAGATACGAATTCTTCGTTACTAGTAGCACTTTAGTCTCAAATAAATCATTATAATATTACCTCCAATATAACGATATTTTATAGCTCTGCATTTTGTCTCATTTTGTGCACAACTTTCGCTCCATTTCTGATCTAATCGCCTAGATATGACTTCTTGTTTACGTTGTTCACGTCTACGCAAAAGTTGAACGATTACATTTAGTCGAACTTCTTGCATTCTGTACAGGAGAGAAATCAACGAAAGTATGAAAACTCGACTAATCGATAAATAAATGCGTTATCATTGAAGAAAAATTAAGGACAATTCAGTTAAGAAAATGCTTTCAAAAATGTCATTTTCCTTAACTGTGTTGGGGGTTAGGTAATCCTACCCCATTCTCACAATTCCGAAGAAATTTTTATATATGAAAATTGAATCCAGTGGGGATATGGCACGGATAATGAAGAACGGACTGTCCGGTCCTCTGAGAAAGGCCTTTTATTCAACAGGGCCTCGGATCGTTTTATCCAGAAAGCAAATCATTCGGGAAAGTGTCAAGTATAAGTGTCTGGTTTGCACTGCCTCATTGTCATCAGCTTAGTTGATCTTGTGGAGTAGTGTATTGGCCGTTCAAAAGAGCACAATTCCCAAAGCAATATCCAACCACAACAAAAATCATGTATTTATACAGAAATTCAAATCAAAAACCAACTTATTCCTTGAACAGATAATCAACTGTGATTACGTGCTACCGAAAACATTCCCGCTGAAGATGATTTTAAAAAGAAATATATGCGACGCCGAAGCCAAAGTAATTCCACCGGTAGCACTTCTAAGGTTACTGCCGGTCCCAAGCCCAGGTAGAGGAGGAGGCAGTCTCAAAATGCCCTAGTACGGTCTAGAATGGGGAGAGTCAGCTCTCCCTCACGAAATGCTTTCACATGGCCACGTGTATACAGCCACTGCCAGGGAAGTCCTACTCGCCGCCTTCCCGCGGAGGGGGTGCTGTCTACGAAGTCGAGAGGGTGAAAAGCGAATGCCCGGAGCTTTAACTGGGTTAGTGGATACGGAAGATCCACCTAGCGGAGTTGAAAAACCCTGATTCCAAACCAATGGTGCATATGGGCTCCAGGATCCTGAAGGAAAAAATGGCGAATGAACAAATTATTGGTCACCGGCTACCATGCGACTGCATCTCCTGACGTTACTCCACTGCCTTGTGGATTAGACCTTTAGGTCAAAGGCTCCGGATGTGGCCCACTAAGAAAACCACCTGTTTCGGTTTGGGCACCCGGACAGTATCCCAACCCCCACAAAATCGAGCGATTTATGTGGCGCAAACCTATTTGGTGCCTTCTTGTACCAATGTTTATCTGTTTAAATAAACAAATAAATAAGAAGAGGAGGTTTGGGCATAAAGTCAGCAATCCCATCCCGTAGAAAACAACCTTAATAAAAAACGCTAATCAAAATAAGCAAATTAAGCAATCTAAACTCTGTCCTGGAAGTTGAAGGGTCTTTATTCAGAAGAATTATGATGTCTCGTTGTGAAAGCCGAGATTCTTCGGAAGTCACAAAGCCAATGCCCCTTCTAACAACCAAGGGAACAACTAATATAGGTACCGCCATGTTGCAACTCCTCATTCCCGTAGCTATTTGACTGGTCCTCCCGGTCTCCCACATTGTCCCATTAGATCAATGCTGGACAGAAAAGGTTAGATTTAGGAGAAATGCTGCTGTACACAGGTCATGAAAAATAAAGTGCTCCGCACACTCAGGAAGTTGCTCTGATGCTGTCCAAAGAAGCACGTAAAGCATTTATAGGATGGGAATCTCATGGATCCAGAATCATCAAGGCGTCCCTCAAAACAAAGAAGGAGGGAATCACAATGCATGTTACCCAGTGTTGTGCACCCACCAATGATAGAAACGACAAAGATAACGACCAGTTTTACGAGAGGCTGCAATCGGTCATAGAGAAGTACTCAGGAAAGGAACTGAGCATACCGATAGGAGACCTAAACGCCAAAGTCGGAATGGACAACACCGAGTATAGTTACATGATGGAACGACATGGACTGGGAGAAAGAGACGAAGACGGTAAGAGATTCACGAATCTATGTGCATTCAACAATACAACCTTCCCTCGACATACTGAAAAACTCAACGAATTACGAATGGATCTCGGCAACACGTTCGAAGCCTCAAAGAAGAAGAAACTACTATGGAGGACAACTAGAAAGCGATCGAAAAAGCACGAACTTCAACGTGTCACGAGTTTCTGTTGAATAGTCAATTAAGTGGAACTCGTCACTACACATCAACTTCCCTGACTATGAGAAGGCGTTTGACAATGTGGATAGGAGGACATCATAGAACTTTGTTCGACACTATGGTGTAACTGAGATCACCAACGTCATCCGGAATTCACAAGACGGACTGCACTGCAAAGTCGTGCATGGAGGACAGCTGACACACGCATTCCGTGTGAGGACCAGAGTCAGACAAGGCTGCTTACTCCACCCCTTCCTCTTTCTTCTGGTGGTCGACTGGATTATGAAGACCACCACATCTGAGGGGAAGCACGGAATACAATGGACAGCTCGGAATCAATTAGAAGATTTGGAATTCGCACACGACCTACTCCTTCTATCTCATACACACGAACAAATACAGATGAAGACAACTAGTATGGCTGCAGCCTCTGAATCAGTAGGTCTCAACATACACAAGAGAAGAAGCATGATCCTTAAATGAAACACGGAGAACACCAACTCAATCACACTTGATGGGGAAGCTCTGAAAGAGGTGGAAACTTCACATACCTGGGAAGCTTCATCAGTGAACAAGGAGGATCCGATGAAGACATAAAGGCAAGGATTGGCAAAGCAACGGACGCATCCCTATAATTGAAGAACATGTGGGACTCAAGACAACTGTCAGCCAATATCAAAGTCAGAATCTTCAATACGAACGTCAAGACAGTCCAACTAAACAAAGCTGAAACTTGGAGAACTACTACAGCCATCATCAAAAAAGCACAAGTACTTATAGTCACTTGTCTACGCAAGTTAGTCAATGTCCGTTGGCTGGATACCATCAGCAACGACCTACTGTGGGAAAGAACAAACCAGCTTCCAGTTGAAGAGGAAATCAAGAAAACACACTGAAAGTGGATAGGTCATACATTGTAGAAGTCACCAAACTAGATCGCGAAGCAAGCACTAACTTGGAATCCTGAAGGGAAACGGAAAAAAGGAAGGCCAAAGAAAAGCCTCACGGAAAATTGGAAAGAGACATGAAAAGGATGAATAGCAACTGGGAACAACTGAAAAGTATTTTCCTGGACAGAGTTCAATAAAGAATGTTGTTAGGCGACTTATATTCCTCCTTGAAGTGTAACAAACGCAGGTAAAGTATGTATATAAAAATATGCAAAAAGTTAATGTTTTAACGCTAATTCGCACAATGTCCCTATGTCAGATGTATAAATACTGGAAATCATGAAAAAGCTTGACGCTTGTTCTGTTCTAGCGCAGAATTTTAACCCTTTCACGAGATTCAATCATGTAAAGTTAGATCTTATGGATAATATGATGCAATCGAGTCGTTGAATCTGTTTACAGAAGTCAAGTTTTAATGTAACTTTTCAAAATATTCAACATCTAGTGTTCCAAGTTTTTTAAGTTCAATTAACTTGTGATATAACATGTGATTCTAATTTCAATTAACTGTAATTTTGAAAGAATCACTTTCGATATACATTGTAATTATTTTATTTTAAGACTAAATCAACTGTTTATTTGTTGAATTCAGGAAGAATCTGAAAGACAAGAAGTAGCTGTAATTATGTTGCAACAATTAATTCGCGGGCGTGCAATTCAGACTCAAATGTATGAGGGTAAACGAAAACGTAGTGAATTAATTGCTGAGTCAAGGTCAACGCATGCTCTGTTAGAAGATGAACAAGCTCAAAAAAAACGTGAAAAATTAACAATTTTAACAAAACAAGAAGATTTCAGTCATCTTTTGCATCAAGTAAATCATTTTATTTAAATTCATCATCGTTATATTGATGTGATTAGAATGCATTGATCCTTCATAGAGGAAGGCCAAAGGAAAGCTGCACGGAGAATTGGAAGCAGACATGAAAAGGATGAATAGCAACTAAAAAGGATTGTTGAAAAACTGGTATCGTTGGAAAATGCAGAGAACCGAACAACTTTCCTTACTTGTGTAGCGGTAAAAGATCTGCAAAATAAATTGTTCTGTAAGTCTTCGACAATATTGCTGATCCCATTATTTTGACTCGGCACACTTGAATGAAGACGCATCCGCACCGAATATATTGTGCTGCGCGTCGTTTGCAACAATTATCTAGCTTAGTTCAAGCGCTTCCCGAAGTATCGATAGCCCTTTCAAATATACCTGCGAACCCCTTAGCATTGAGTCCTAGGGCAGAACTAACTCTCTTAGACTGGATCCCAGTAGACAGTTGCTTGCGTGCTTTCCAACTAAACGGAACATTAAGGACTCGGAAAGATAAGGACACTCGTTGTTGCCTCTCCGTCCTCTCTGTCTACTCTCCCACTGACTCCAGCTCAGATGAGGTGAGAGATGAGTTTTACAGAAAGTTTTCTGACCTTCAAAACGTTAGGTGACCTGATGTAGTAATGGTGGTTGGTGACTTCAATGTACACTTAGATAAATTAAGCGAAAAGCAAGGACAACTGAGTGGATCTTATGGTGTCGTGGTTCAAAGAACAGATAATCGCGATCGTCTAATGCAGCTATGCTCAGATAACCGCCTGTTTCTAGCGAATGCTAACCTTAAGCATAAGGAAAAACATCTTTTAACATGGAGACCCCCTAATTCGTCCCAACGTTGGACCCAAATAGATCACGTCACTGTCAGCCACCGATGGAGGGGCTCGATAGAAGACTGTCGCTCGTTTTGGAGCGCATGCTTAGATCCAGATCATGCTCTAGTGCGAGCGCGTATTTGTCTGCGTCTCACTGGACGTAGGAAAGACGATTCAAGGAAACCTCTTAGGGTTCTACTCAATGATAGCCAAGCTACGAATATACTTCAGGAACAACTAGAAAAACAGTTAGGCAGCCATGTAAGTGATGTCCACCCCGAGGCAGCATGGAATGATATCTGAAAAGCTGTGGAAACAGCAGTGATATCTGCTAGCACAGTAAACCATAAGGTTAGGAAGAAATACTGGGTCTGAGCAGCATCCACCGCAGTGATAGATGCTCGAAAACTCATCCCATCTGGCTCTAAACATGACGAAGAGCGAAGTCAGCTTAAGCGCAGGCTGATAAGGAGCCTACGCAATGATCGTGAACAGTGGTGGGTAAAGAAAGCAAGAGAGATGGAAAAGGCAGAGGCAATAGGTAACAGCAAACAACTGTTCAGAATTTTCAAGGAAACCGATATTAGGAACCCGACTGTTAGCGAACTATTTCAGAAGAAGAAGGACATATTGTTCATTCTCAATTGAGGAGATTATATCGATGGGCAGAACACTTTAGGGATCAGTTAAACTGGCCTTCAACCACACTTCCGTTTTCCCACGATCTCCAGTCAACCTGAATGACAAGTTGATGTAAGTCCTCCAACTCTTGACAAGGTCCAAAAAGCTATAGGAAATCTGAAGCGTGGGAGAGCAACAGGTTCTGACAGGTTTACCCTTGAGATTTTTAAGGATGGCGGTCCAGTATTAGCAGCGACATTGACTGAGGTCTTAGGTAGAATCTGGGAACTGGATGTAATCCCATCTGAGTGGTCTCAACCACTGATTGTGCCAGTCTATAAGAAAGGGCAAAAGTCCTCTTGTTACAGTCACAGAGGAATCAGTTTGACTAATAATATTGTCTGAAATATCAGCTTCAATAATATTTCGACGCCTAACCAAAGCTCTTGAAGAGCAGAACTAGAAAAAATCAGGCTGGTTTTCGACCTGGATGTGGCTGTGTAAACCAGATATTCAAACTACGTCAGGTCCTAGAACATAGACACACATTCAGACGTCCCACAATAATAGTATTTCTTGACCTTAAGGCGGCATTTGACTCTGTTGATAGTGAGGATATATGGCAGTGTTTGTCACTGAAAGGAGTAACAAGGAAATACATTAACCTTATACAGGCTCTCTCTCTCCCTATACAACTGGTCGAGTCAGAGCTTATGGCGAACTGTCATCAGAATTGATTACCTCGAGCGGTGTTCTTCAGGGCTGTCCACTCTCTCCATTTTTGCTTAACTTTGTTGTTGATGTGCTTTTAGAGATAATACTTTCCCCATCTAAATTTCCAGGAGATAAACTTTTACCGGGCGATTCACTTGTTGACTTAGAATATGCCAATGGTAGAGTTCTATTTGGTGAAGACGCTGACAAAATGCAGTCTTCTGACCACCGTAAGCAACAATGCAAGCATGTTCGGAAGGCGATTCTCCCCCTCGAAATGCAACATGTCACTTCAGGGTTGGGTTGCATCGGCACCTGAACTAATGATGGGGAGTGATGTAGTTGAGTGTATCGACCGCTTCACCTATCTTGGGAGTCTCGTTAGCCCTTGTGGTCTAGTGTGTGGCGAAACCTCAGCACGGATACAGAAGGCTTGACTGACTTTCGCCAACTTGCGTCATTTATTGCGTAGGCGAGATATCCGTCTACCAACCAAAGGACGGGTTTACTGCGCAGCCGTTCGTTCCGTCCTACGTTATGGCTGTGAAACATGGCCGGTAAGAGTAGAGGATATTGGTAGGTTACTAGTATTCGATCATGGATGTCTTCAAAGCATTGCTCATACATCCTGGGACCACCAAGTAAGTAATGTAGTTGTTAGAGAACGGATGCTAGGTAGGGACGGCAAATCAATTGAAGTAGTGAAACTTCATCAGTTGAGATGGCTGAGACATGTGTTACGTATACACAACCACCGATTGCCCGGACGAGCGATGTTTTATGGTGTACGAGTAGGTTGGAAGAAAGCTAGGGGTGGCCAGACCGAAACATGGCACAAATCCATGAGGTCATTGACAAGTGGACTGAGCAGTGTCTATAGGTGTAGACTACCTGGTTGGGATCCGCGAGATGATAGCAACCGACGGTCAGAGACCTTGAATGAAATGACTCAAAATCGTTTGCAAAATTGCAGGTGCATCCACTTTTGTGTTCTCGCAAATTTTAATTGTCTGAATTTTTCATCTCCCTTCCTTTATTCTCTTTCCAATTTTTTTCACTGGATTATACTCCTTGAACAACATTTTCAAACCCTAATCTTTCCTATTACTGCTTATACTTTTACTATCTCTACCACCATGTGATTTGAATAGACAATTGTATCTCTGTGCTAATGTGGTATGGCAACTTAAATTGACGTATGTACGTACGGAATTCTACGTTGTTATTGACTGACTGACTGACCTTCATTTCTGATTTCTGATTTGACTGGGTTGGCATACTTTAATTGGGACGGTGTCATGTGTAAAGGCGTTGTCAAACTCTGAATATCTGTGGCATCTTTACTAATTTGGGAGCGTTCAATAATGAATATCTACAGCTTTAACGGCAACTCAAGCCAAGACCTTTATGCCTCGTACCAAGTACTAAATATGTGACCAGAGTTTCAGCTTCAATCAATTTGAAGAAAGTAAAACCTAATCAGACTCAAGCACCAAGTTGGATAAGCTGAGATTTAAACCACACCTACGTTTTAGGGCTCTTGATGAGTACAGGACAACGGTATAACAAACTTTTACAAATTTCTAGTTTCATTGTTTCCTTAATTCTACTTATCAGGAACGAAAATTGCTTTTTAAAGTGAATTCCTCGTCCATAAATTACATGACTGGAAAAGCTTAGTAATAATAAATTGACTGACTTACGCTTCAACCTCTCTTTCTCTGAAGTACCATTCACGATTTTCTAAACCTTCCAAAATTTTACGTCGTTTGGCAATCTGTACCAGATTATTTGCAATATCTTTATACGGCGGTAAATTTGCTTCAATTTCTCGTCTTTGTCTTGCACGTTCAATTCTTTCAACATCAAATAATCCGACTGGAAGTCCATATCCATAACTCAACGAAGTTAATTTCAGTGTCTCAAGGTTTTCCCCTGTATTGACAACATACAATGGAGAATATGGGTCAGTTTGCGCCTCTGAATCACGATACATTGTCTGCACATAACGTGATACATAGACAGGTGGTTTCGGCCTTAGATCTATTTGGGTGATATTTTGATTTCCTACTAAAGAGTCCAACGTAATATCCATACTTTTCGGATTTCCTGAAGGCTGATATATTAAAAAATTGCATTGTGATAAATATTACTGAAATCTCATCAAAACAAATAAATAAATCTTAACCATCAATCCTTGGAAAATGTGCTTTTCCCGTTTGTATGTCATACAAGTACTGTTTTGGGTGTCAGTAAACAGCGAAGCTACATTTATTTGACCAATTATTACACTCGATGTAATACTGACTAGAGTCCGTAACTGCTTAAATGGCTTAGTTAGGGCGTTTAAGTGAAAAAAAATTTCCCATTTTGCTGAGAACTATTTACATGTTGCAAAGATGCGTATAACACTTTATTAGTAAACTTGTAGAGTGATGTAATGAAACGTTAAACATTTAATACATTTGCGTAGAACTGTAGCCTGTGGACTGGCAATATTGGGAACAATATAAATCGTTGGTTAAATAATTCAAACACTGTAGATTCATATTTGCTAAAATAGTTATATCAGAAGGCGATCAAATCAAGAATAAGAATTTTAGGCGAGTGGTCAGTGAATTAGAACATTTTCTATGCCAAATATTGATTTATTCTGCTGTGTTGTCGGAATGAGCTTACTAAACAATCGATTATGCTGATGAGCCAGCTGAAACAAGTCGTTGAACAATTTGTATTGTAACTTTAACTGGGATAGAGATGCATGTTAAGCAAGGAGTTCAAAAACTGTTGCCTTTTATTTTGTTACAGATTCAGATCATTAGCTGGTTGTGGACAAGATGAAACTGAAGCTAAAGAAACACTGGAAAACCGGAGAAACGGCAGTACAAAGGTTCGATACAGCCTTTCTTCGGCATACTAACAAACTCAATGAAGTCAAGATAAATCTCAACAACATATTACAAGCCTTATAGGACCTACTGAAAGAAGAAACTAGTATGGAGGACAACTAGAAAGGGATCAAAGAAGAATTAAATTCAACGTTTCAGGAGGTGCTGGACCGCAACAAGCATCATCATAAGGAATGGGTCTCTATAGAAGCCATGGACAAGATTCAAGAAAGGAAAAACAAAAAGACAGCAGTTAACAACAGCCGAAAAAGAGCGAAGAAAGTCAAGGCACAAGTTGGATATACAGAAGCAAACAAGCAAGTGAAGAGAAGCATTATAGCCAACAAGCAGTAGTATGTTGAAGAGCCAGCAACGACAGCGCAAAAAGCTTCAGGAGAAGAAAATATGAGACAGCTATGTGACACAACGAGGAAACTAGCAGGGGAATATAATAAACCAGAGAGACTGGTCAGGGACAAAGAAGGCAAGACAGTCACAGAAACTCAAGAACAGAGGAACAGATGGGTAGGATACTTCGAGGAACTGTTGAATACACCAGCTCCACTGAGTCCACCAAACATCGGGGCAGCACACAAACCTTCTTATAGATGTCACTCCACCAACGATGGAAGAAATCACGATGGCCATCAGATGAAGCAAGAGTGGGAAAGCAGCAGGACCTGACAACATACCAGCTGAAGCAACGAGGTCAAACATAAAAGTAACTGCAAAAATGCTTTACACTCTATTCAGGAAGATTTGGGAGGGGAAACAAATGCCAACAGACTGGAAAAGATACCTCATCAAGATACTAAAGAAAGTAGATTTAAACAAGTGTGAGATATACAGAGGCATCAAACTACTATCGGTACCAGGAAACGTTTTCAACAGATTGTTGCTGAACTAGATGAAAGACTCAGTTGATGCCCATCTTTGTGATCAACAGGCCGGATTCCGTAAGGATTGGCCGTGCACATAACAAATCACGACAATACGGATCATCGCTGGACAATCACTTAAGTGGCATTCGTCACTACACATCAACTTCCCTGACTATGAGAAGGCGTTTGACAATGTGGATAGGAGGACATCATAGAACTTTGTTCGACACTATGGTGTAACTGAGATCACCAACGTCATCCGGAATTCACAAGACGGACTGCACTGCAAAGTCGTGCATGGAGGACAGCTGACACACGCATTCCGTGTGAGGACCAGAGTCAGACAAGGCTGCTTACTCCACCCCTTCCTCTTTCTTCTGGTGGTCGACTGGATTATGAAGACCACCACATCTGAGGGGAAGCACGGAATACAATGGACAGCTCGGAATCAATTAGAAGATTTGGAATTCGCACACGACCTACTCCTTCTATCTCATACACACGAACAAATACAGATGAAGACAATTAGTTGATAGCGTCGGACTTCAAAATGACCTGGAGAAATTATCTAAATGGTCTCAAACTTGGCAGTTACCGATAAATACTTCCAAGTGCATTGTGATGCATATTGGCCATCGAGGTACAGATACATACATGATAAATAACATCGAGATACCCGTTGTCCAGACACACAATGATTTAGGAGTCATCGTTAGGCAAGACTTAAAAACTACTACAAACTACCTTGCGATAGCCACCAAAGGCTTAGAACCCTATGGTTAATACGTAGGTCCTATAGTCATGTCGACGCTCAAACGTTTTTGACTCGGTATACAGTATTCGTGCGTCCTAAACTTGAGTACTGCATACAAGCGGTTAGCCTCTACTTAAAAAAGACAATGAGCTTTTGTAAAAGATTTAGATAACAGCAACTAAGCCGATTCCAAAACAGAGAATTCACGAGGACACTCCAAAAAGCTCACAAGCCCAGAACAAATTACCTGTCAGCTGACTATCGACTTTCCCATTGAATCATCAACGACTGGAATTCATTACCTCAACATGCAGTTGAAGCTCCATCTGTCGACTCTTTCAAAAGAAAGTTGAACCAACTGAGACCATCATTTCCAGGACTAGCACAGACCATCTAGCCTCCTACCCTTTCCAAACTGGAACTGCTCTTTTACTTATTTTAAAACGACTGTGAAAAAGTCCATCTGCAAACTAGGACTAAATGAGGGTTATAAAGCTGTGTAAGGAATTATAATTATGATTCACAGTTGATGGTAGGGTTAGGAATTCGATTTATGGTTTTCACCACGAACTGGCATCATTTGTATTACCGTCACAGTATTAAGCCAAATGAGTGGATGAATTTCGTGCTAAAATCCAAGACCTGTTATCCTAAATCTGATTAGTTCGTCCATAAATTATAGCCTCGCCGTTGTATCTTTTAAAGACTAAAGATGTTCGTCAACTATGAGGTTACTCAGCTTTTTCCAAAAGCTGTCCTACTCATTTGTTATTGCTATTTCCATGACGTGGTATGGCGTTGTTTGGTGTACTACATGAATAGCCATCCAAATTTTCGATCGAATCGTAAGGTAACACGTGTGACTGCTCATCTAACTTGTTCTTGTTTTAATACAGTTTGTGAAACTACAGCTCATCTACCAAACGACATTAGATAAAAAAATTGCATCATGTATGTGTATTGACAATTATATAAGCAATCGATAAACATAATCGTACTTAACTCACATATGGACAAAGAGACAAGGTATGATGGGTGAAATATTTCGACCGATCCATACCCTCAAACACATGACCTATCATTGGATCTTTGTTTTTTTTAAGCTGATTTCTTTGAAAATTAAAGGATTCAAATTCTTACATTTGGATTAACTTTTTGCAAACATCTACAGGGTGAAAATACCTAGACACGAACATAGGTACGGGATCACTTGGATTAAGACGCCATATATAAGGACGATATATAGGTACTTCACTGAACAAATTCTGAAAGGAGAACAATTTTTGCATTTTCGACACATCTAAATGATCTTTAGTTGCAACCCGTTCATGGTCAGCTGCACTTGAAAGGCTGTATAAGGGATCTACGAAGGAATACCGAATGAATGCTTCAACAGTTACCGTAAATATAGTCATGTTTTCTTTCTTTAATAGTCATTCGCTCATTAGGAAGCAACATCTTCCATTTGACTGGAATAACCGCGCTTTCGATCATGTTGTTATGGATACTACATAGTTAAACGAATACCGTATTTCAGACTCACTCGTGTTACTGTTGGTTTCAAAACCTCGTCAACTTGTAAAACTTGTGCCCACAAGAATTAAGTCGAATATATTAAGACAACTATCCTAATATCTTTTCTAACTAATTTGTGAAAACAAATTGTTCCCTTGACTCTGAATTCTTGATTTTACAATACGATTTCAGGTCTTCGGGACTATCCAATATGAACAGTCAAGGTAGCTTTTTGCGCTTAACCTGATGGATGTGCTAAGAATTTGAAAGTTAATTCTTTTTGTGTATAAATAAGTGTCTCCTTTAAAGCAATCTACCTAATGATTGTCGTCACGTCAGCTGTGAGATGATTCCGGATATAACTGATGATGTCACAGGTATTCAGTGTTTGACAACGCTTCTACCAGTAACACCTTCTAATGTATTTCGTTCCCACCAAGAGAAATCAAAAGACAGAGTCGAGGAGATCGGAAGAGTATATTTGGCGATGACCAATATACCGGGATTCTCTGATCTAATCTGGCTAGCGATTGTGGTTGATGTTGAGCACGGCGTTACTACACGTGATCTGGTGCGGATGCCTGACCGAGCGCCTTCAGCTAGATGAGTCCACTAAAACATATGGTCAGCATCCAATGTCGAAAACTTACAGAGCTATTTATTTTAGGGATTTATTTACCGCTACAGATCACTCCCCCCCTAGTGGGGCAGTGACGACCCTAAGACGTGGCCAGCCAGAAGTTTAAACCCAACGAGTTTGTCGTTGGTAAACACTCTTCTGATAGCTTACTAAATTTAGCAGCGTCTGGTCGTCTTTCCTTACTATATGGGACGGAGGTACAACATAGTAAAAAAAGAAAATGTACAATGAAAATTTCGGATCCTCATAAACGTCATCGTTCTTTTCCAGCCGTCCTGGAAAAGAAAAAAGAAAATGTAAGTGCATGTCGAAATACACTCGTATATGCGTAAAAACACAAGGTCGGCGGAAAAAAAATGGAAAATAAACTCATGAGCACGTAATAGCGTTAAAAAATTGTTTTTTTGTTTTGTTTTTTTTAATAGAAATAAAAATATATAAGCATATTAAAATTGTTTTTTTTTAAAAAAAAATAATATAAAATGTCGAGAAGTGCCTTACGTGCAATAGTCGTTTAAATGTTCTGGAAATCTCACCCTTCTTCCAGAACGCGTCGTTTTAAGTTTATTTTCGGATACTGTCGAAGTATCTTCGTGTGTGTTGGTTGTCGGATGAGGTATTATTAGTGTCTGAGTCGTGTCGTTCGATTGTACCGAAGGAAAATCGACGTGGATAGGATTTCCTTCTAAATACGCTGCTTTTAAGCGATCGATGCTGATGCTATCGTTGGTTCCGTTCTTATCGACTATATAGTACTTAGATTCACGTTGAAGAACTTTGAAGGGTCCTTCGTATGCTGATTCGAATGGTCGTCGATGCGAGTCTCGACGAATGAAAACGTGTGTACTATATCGTAAGTCAGGTTGAACGAAAACATCAGTTGATTGAGGTCGAGTGGAAGCAGGTTTAACTGAACGCATTGCGTTTGTAAGCCTGTTCGTGTAGGAGGTTAGATCCATGTTCATCGAAGAGCACGAAGGATCCACGAATTCTCCTGGAAGTCGAAGTGTCGTTCCATAAACGAGTTGAGCCGCAGTGTATCCAATGTCAGCTTTCACTGCATTGCGGATACCTAGTAAGACGAGTGGAAGAGCGTCGGTCCATTGTGAAACGTTTGCAGCTGATAGCGAAGCTTTCAGTTGTCGGTGAAAACGTTCTACCAACCCGTTTGCTTGTGGATGGTAGGCGGTCGTTCGGAAGCGAGTGATTCCTAAAAGTGTGGTCAGACGACGGAAAAGATCAGATTCAAACTGACGTCCGCGGTCTGTAGTGATGGTTGAAGGGCAACCGAAGTTTGCTACCCATCGTTCGACGAATGTGCGGGCCACTGTTTCAGCAGTGCTGTCCTTGATAGGTACTGCTTCTGGCCATCGAGTGAAACGGTCTACGCAGGTTAAGAGATAAGAGTATCCATTTGAATCTGGTAAAGGTCCTACCAAATCCAGATGAACATGGTCGAAACGAGCATCGGGAGTTTTAAACGAGCCTAAGGGACATTTATTGTGTCTGATAACCTTAGATTTTTGGCAGCTTACACAGGAGCGTGCCCACTCCCTCACGTCTTTATTCATGCCAGGCCAGCAAAATCGTTCTGCTATAAGCTTGATGGTTGCACGAACACCTGGATGAGAAAGTTTGTGCAATGTGTTGAAGACATTGCGTCGATAATGTTTCGGCACGATTGGGCGATCCCTACCTGTAGATGTGTCACAAAGTAAGGTTTCCTTACCTGTTCCCATCTGTTTGATGCGTAGTTTAAGTGTTGTGGACGATAACTCGTGCTGAAGATCACTGTCTTCTTTTTGAAGCTCGGCGAGTTTAAGAAGGTCGATTCCTTGGAAACTGTTCAAGGAAGTTATACGAGATAAAGCGTCTGCAACTACATTGTTTGCTCCAGAGATGTGTTGAATATCTGAAGTAAACTGCGAAATGTAGTCCAGTTGTCGAGACTCACGGGGAGAGTACTTGTCAGAAGGAGAGCTTAACGAGAAAGTGAGCGGTTTATGGTCCGTGAAAAGAGTGAATTCACGGCCTTCGATATAGTGTTGGAAATGCCGTACAGCACAATACATAGCTAGGAGTTCCCTACCGAATGTGCTGTACCTCGATTCGGTGTCTAGCAACCTTCTAGAGAAAAATGCCAAGGGTTGCCAGGAGTTGTTAACCCATTGTTGTAAGACTCCTCCGATTGCTGAGTCGGATGCGTCTACTGCGATGCTAATGGGTGCTCGGGTGTCCTGATGTGCGAGCATTGTTGCTTTAGCAATCAGTTCCTTGACTGTGGAGAATGCTTTTCGTGCGGTGTCGTCCAAATTAATGGATTTCGCATTTCCACGAAGTTGGTCGGTCAGAGGTTTCATAAGTGATGCGCATTGGGTATGAAACGTCTATAGAAACTTACCAGGCCGTTGAACGTGCGTAATTGCTTGACGGTGGTCGGTTCTGGGTAATCCAGAATGGCCGCCACTTTGGTTCTAAGGGGTCGGATACCTTGAGCATCGATAGTGTGTCCCAGAAAGTCTAACGAGTCGGTTCCAAATTGGCATTTCTGAACGTTTACAGTTATGCCATGTTTTTGTAATCGTTCGAAAACAAGGTCCAGATGCTTGAGATGTGTTTCTCTGTCCGGACTTGCGATTAGACAGTCGTCAACATACGCGTGTACGAAGTTGAGACCTCGAAAAACGTCGTCTATGAATCTTTGGAATGTTTGAGCAGCATTCCTTAGACCGAAAGGCATTCGCAAAAATTCATAGAGTCCGAAGGGAGTTATGATAGCTGTTTTCGGTATGTCGTCAGTAGCCATAGGGATTTGGTTATACGCTTTAACCAAGTCGATTTTCGAAAAGACAGTTGTACCTTTCAAGGTAGCTGTCAAATCGTGAATGTGAGGCAACGGGTAACGATCGGGAATGGTTTTCGCGTTCAATCGCCGATAGTCACCAGTTGGACGCCAATCGTTGCTGTCCTTTTTAGGGACCATGTGCAACGGAGATGCATATGGGCTACTTGACGGTCGTATGATTCCTAAGTCCATCATGTGATCGAATTCGTTTTTCGCTAACCTTAGCTTTTCAGGAGCTAGTCGTCGTGCTTTAGAGAATACAGGTGGTCCTGTAGTCGTGATGTGATGTGTAACATTGCTGGTTACACACGGTAGTTTCGGTTGAGTTTGTTGTATCCCAGGGTACTTATCGAGTAGTGGTTGATAGAGTGGGTCTATCATATGTTTAACTGTGACTGGGGATACTCTACAACCAGTAAAAGAAGTTACGCAAACGGACAAATTAGTGTTTCCGTCTACTAGCCTCCGTTTGCGAGTGTCGATGATCAGATTGTGGTGTTGTAGAAGGTCCATACCAATGATTGGCATAGAAACATCTGCAACGACGAAAATCCAGTGGATGGGTTTGCGTAAACCCACGTTAAGGTAAACGTACCTTTTGCCATACGTAGCGATCGGTTTTCCGTTTGCCGCCTGTAAGTTTAGGGTCGATTCGTGAAGTCGGTCGTTAGGATTTGCTGGGAGAACGCTAACTTCTGCGCCAGTGTCGACGAGGTAGCGAACTCTCGTTGTCACATCTGTGACGAATAACAGACGGCTTTGTTCGCCGGCTACGGTTGCCGTTAACGCGTGCCGGCTTGGAAGTTTCCCGAATCAGTCGGTTTCGTGTTGGGAAAATTGCAGGGTTTTCTGCAATTTCTGGAAAACTTTCCATACTGGTTATGATACCAGCACCAGTCGGGGTTATCTGTCTCTCGTGGTCTAGAGACAGATCGCTTACGAGAAATGCTTCTACGTGGTGTGCGCGATCTCTTACGGTCGGTACGAAGACTAAGATAACGCGTGAGTGTGTGACATAAGTCGGTTATGTCATTCTGAGTCGTGTGAGGCTTTTCTTTGACTGAAAATACCTCGGTAGTAGAAGGTTTCGTAATTTCTAGAATGCGGTCGGCAGATACAGCTAGTTCGTCTAAGGCGTTGTTCTGGAACGAGACCAGAACTGCTTGCACCTGTTGGGGAAGTTTTGACAAGAAGAGTTGTTTGAATAGACCTTCGTCGAAAGTTCTTGGGCCTATAACCTCTCTCATCCGTTGCAACATGTCCGTCGCAGAACCGTGTTGCAGGTCGATGTTGTTGAAGAGTTGATCTAACCTTTGTCGATCGGTTAGGTCTCCTCGTTTAAGAATCGAGCGTTTTAAGATTTCGTAAGGATCGGAAACATCACTAGTAAACATACTAGGTGTTACGTACCTGTTGAATTCGCGCGGTAGTGCCTTGACTACTGCGAGGAATTGTGCACGTGTGTCGATCACGCCGTGCTCGGAAAAGTCGGCTTCTGCGTAGCAAAACCAGGCTTCGATGTTGTCGGGCCAGAAAGGCATCAGTTGAAACGAAGGTGGGGACAAGGTCTTAAGCTTGAGTACTTTAGGTGTCTGTTCAGTCATGATGAAATATGAAGTACGATAATGAACGAGGGAAAAATATATATATATCCAAGAAAAACACGAAAAAAAATCACAATGTTTAAAAAAATAAAAAAATAAGGCAATGATATATAAAAATCCCAAAAAGGAACAGACTCACAGTTGCAATAAGGTGTACCAGATCACGACGGTCTCACCAATGATGATGTCACAGGTATTCAGTGTTTGACAACGCTTCTACCAGTAACACCTTCTAATGTATTTCGTTCCCACCAAGAGAAATCAAAAGACAGAGTCGAGGAGATCGGAAGAGTATATTTGGCGATGACCAATATACCGGAATTCTCTGATCTAATCTGGCTAGCGATTGTGGTTGATGTTGAGCACGGCGTTACTACACGTGATCTGGTGCGGATGCCTGACCGAGCGCCTTCAGCTAGATGAGTCCACTAAAACATATGGTCAGCATCCAATGTCGAAAACTTACAGAGCTATTTATTTTAGGGATTTATTTACCGCTACATAACTAAACCCTGGTTAAAAAATCGCAATATTATCTGTGTTTTGGCCGCCAGATATGTTATCCATCATGGATTACCTCCTGATCTACCTTGATGAGACTTGTGTATGTTGCTTTTATTCGGGAGGCAAGTTCGCACAACCCAATCATCATGTTAGTTCGTGTATTCCTTCAGTTTAGCAAGGAAAAAACTGAGTAGCAGAGTTGACCTTTGTTAAAATTGCCTATAAATCTTATGTCTAACATTGTGACGTGCCCTTGTACATGTTGCAATAAGTTTTTTTGTGTGTGTGAAGCGGAGGTGCAATAATGTTGGGCGTTTCTGGATGCAAGCAAGTGTATGTCCTGGAAGTTGTCAAAAATAGCTAAGAAATAAAAAATTATCGTGTCTGAGGACAGACGGTGTATCATAACCTATATCTGCATCTCTCTAGTAGAATTGCGCTATGTGAGAACAACTACGCGCGGATTTTCTCACACGGTATACATTTTGTATTCGTCGGGTCCAAATGTCATTAATTATATATTTTAAGTGGTTTAATTTTAGTTCACATTTCACCGCAAAATCCCCTATTCTTTTTTAATATCTCTTCGCACTTCAATAAGTCGCCTGCATTTCTTATGGGTTTCTGTTTCTCCTCGTCATCTGTGTAGATAAGTGTCGCTAAGCTTATTTTGTCTTAAAGATCAGTAATGGAGACCAGGAAAAGAAATCAATCTAGGATGATCCCCAGTGAGTCTTTTGATGTCGAGAAACAACAAACTGTGTGCACTTAAGTTGCATTGGTGCAAAGCGTCTTATTCCCGTGGGAATGTCGGAGCAATTATAGAAGATGACCGGTGAAACTCATCTCCGTGAACTTCACTTCAAAACACGAAGAGGAAAGTCCAGTCACTAGAATCTAGAGCAGGGCAACAAGAGGTTGTTAAGTTTTTGGCAGATCGTGAATAGAACGACCCCACTGAACACAGCGAACGTCAAAGAACAGCCCACAAACATCCCATTAGATGTAGATACATCAACAACACGAGAAATCAGCATAGGGAATATCACCAAACGACCGGTCATTTTTGTAATTTTTTCACCCCTTTAGACAATTTTTTTCATCCCATTTTTCAGTACTTTTCATTTCGTTTTGTCCAATTAAATGGCTAGTTTTAAATTCGTTATATTTGGTTAGTTATGTCTTAAAATTGTTACGAAATGTTAGAACTTGTCGACAGAGTATATTTTGTTCAAATTTTGGACGATGACAAGGTACAAAGTACAAGCTATGTCGTTCCTTACGTTGTCACAGAAACAGAGAACGTATTGTTGAATACATTGCATTTCATAGCGTTCCAATCAATTAAACCGTTAAAGAGCGCGATCACAACTTATGAAAGAGCTACGTAATGCCATTATGTGGTGAGAGATTCCCATATCCACAGAGATCGGAGGTCGTGTATTAAATTGTATGTTGTAGAAGTGACCGCAGAACACGAAGAATTAACTCACGGTTGATAAGAGGGAGGAGGACATTCCATTACTGTTCGTGTAATTTCTCATGAAGGACTACGATGAACAGGGAAGGTCCAGTCTTCATTTTTATAGCATAGCGGTAAATAAATCCCCAAAATAAATAGCTCTGTAAGTCTTCGACATTGGATGCTCACCACATTAATTTTGGTGGACTCACCTAGATGAAGGTGCTCGGTTATGCAGCAGCACTATTATGATTATTCACAAACATCTTATGAGTACATAAGTGTTGTGAAGAAACCACTTCGGGTTTCTTCAAAAAATGCAATAATATACAATTTTCAATAGGGTTAACATTCTATTTGCCATATTTAAAAAAAGAGTAGTAATAATAGAATAATAATAATAAATCGGGTCTATGTAATCGAGAAGAATACTGAATTGGCTTTAAAGAAGTAAAGGAAGAAAATAAGGGAATGGAAATAAAGGAGACGTGAAATACGCAAATAGTTTTATAGGCGTGTTTATGAACACAGAACAAGGATAAACGTCCATGTGTGTATCGTCGGAATAAATGTTTGTGCAGCCATAGTTTGGAGTGATGCTATGAAAGTCTCAAATAAATGAAAAGTATGACGAACTATCAATATGCATGAATCGTATATGCATAGAGAAGATAAAACGAGTCTGAAGAGTTAAGTTAAATGTAACACAAGCCAATGTCTTAATTACAAACGTCGTTATTTTAAGAAGAATATTAATTTAAAAGGAAAGAAGAGAGAGAAAATAAGTGGACACCTAGTGAAAAGGTTCATCCATGATAAGAATAATTATTGTGTAATGAATATCGACTTCAGGAGTAAGCCAGCAATTGAGAAAAATAAAATAGAAATCCTTTAGTGCACTCGAATAAATACATGTAGATTCATGTAATAGTACACAGAGTGAAACCGGATATTAGTATAAATTTCTGGTTAGCGTTTTTTCAGCGAGTTAGTTTTCTACGGGATGGGGACGCTAATCCCATGCCCGACCCTCCTCCTTTATCCGGGCTTGGGGCCGGCGGTAGCCCCCGGAGAGACTCCGGGCGGGGTATAAATATTTGTGTAATAATAATTAAGAATGAAGCTATGAAAGTCACAACTGATTTCAAAGGACAATCTGTAATTAAATATGTTTAGAAGGATAAAAAGAGATAAAAAGAATATCTAATGTGTCGGGGACCAATAGCGATATTAATAACGGTAATAATGATAAATACAAACATAAGCAGACTTCATATATTAAGATGACTAAAAATAAGAATAAAATAGACGTGAAAAGTTTCAACGGTTACAATTAGCTTTTCAGTTAATTAGATAGATGACGGACCTTGTTTGTATAAATCATTAATAAACACATCGGTATTCAATAGGTGACACTATCCACTTTCAGAAAGAACATCATCAAGGAGACTTGTGAACCGGGTTGTAGTTTCACTGCGACGGAGGTTCACTGGCAGTCTGTTCCACATGGTCGAGTAGCGGATTATGAAAAAATTGTGGCGTAAGTTTGTGTAGGTTTTTGGAATCTCTAGAATATTCTTCTTTTTGCGTAGAATGTTGGATGATAACATAGAATATGAAGAAGTGGATACCGGGGAGTAGGAAATATCGTCAACAACCCGGTAGATAGAGGTAAAGTTTGATTTGATACGTCTGATCCAATGAGGTTCTAAGTTGAGTTGTTGATTATTATCTTTGGTGATAGTCTTTGTTATCGGAATACCCCAGAACAGCTTTGGTGAACTTTCTTCGAACACTTTCAATTTTGATCAGGTCATTATGCCTGCAATTACCGTAAACTAAAATACCATATTCAAGAATGGGTAAGATACATTTTCTGTATAATAACAACCTCGATTCGATATTATTGAAGTTTATCATTATCGATCCGATGAGCTTTCTGGCTTTGGATACTTGAG